GCCAGTCTGTTCATTAGAATAGAGCAGAGTTGGAAGGGACCTTGGAGGTCTTCTAGTCCAACCCCCTGCTCAGGCAGGAAACCCTAGGGCCTAGACCATTTCAGATAAATGGTTGTCCAATCTTTTCTTAAAAAAACTTCCAGTGTTGGAGCATTCACCACTTCTGGAGGCAATTTCTGTTCCACATTTCATTAGTCATTGGGGTCAATAGTGGCTACAGGTAGTCCTCAATTTACGACCTCAATTGGATCAGCATTTCAGTCGTGAATCATTGCAGTCGTAAATTGAGGCATTATGTGGACTTGATTTTATAACTGTTTTGGGGATGGTCGTTAAGGGGGTCTCTATTGTTGTTAAGCAAACCATGTGGTTGTTAAGCGAATCACATGGTCATAAATGCAAAGTTATTTTGCCTTTTTTTTTTTTTGCTGGAAAATGGCAAAAAAGTCGCAAAATGCGATCACAGGACTTTAGGACACGGCAACCTGTCAATTGCCAAGCATATAAAATATAATCAGGTGACCACAGGTGGTGTAGCAATTGTAACTTTGAAGACAGATTGTAAGTAACTTTTTCAAGTCTGTAGTAACTTCAAATGGTCATTAATTGATCAGTTGTAAGTTAAGGACTATCCATATAAGGTGTGGCAGTCATATACAAGTGCATTAAAACATTCCAGTTGTGAGGGTTAGCTGGTAAATTTTTGTTTGACATGGGGGATTCAAGTTGAAGGAAGTGCACATGGAACTGCATTGTTATTTTCATAAATCCTTAGGTGGCTTAAAAAAAATAAAGTAACGTAACCTTTCAGATTTTGGAATAGGAAAGAAATAAGCTTTGCTCTCTTGTCTTCTTCATAAAGATGTTGCTTTTCTTATCAATTTAAGATCAAATTATTCTCCAAAGCACCTGAGTGCAGGACAAGAAGCAATGTGTGGAAATTAACCAAGGAGAAGCAATTTAGAACTAAGGAGGAATTTCCTGACAGCTAGAACAATTAATCAGTGGAATAATTTGCCTCCTGAAGTTGCAAATGCTCCAACACTGGAAGTTTTTAAGAAGAGATTGGACAACCATTTATCCAGAATGATATAGGGTTTCCTGCCTAAGATCCCTTCCAACTATTCTATTCTATTCTATTCTATTCTATTCTATTCTATTCTATTCTATTCTATTCTATTCTATTCTATTCTATTCTATTCTAATTTCCCTCCTCCAGCAATGGGATGAAAATTATGTAGGCCATCCCTCCTTAACCTGATCCTTCTAGAGATCCCGAGATTAACTCAAGATGGACCATGCTGTTTGAACAGCAGTCGAAGCTTTGTTAGATAAATAGGAATGTAGAACTGAATGAAGGAGAGCAAAAAAATACAAGGTCTGGAAGAAAGTTGAGTCTACTTGGTCCAGCATATGCCATCTCAACCAGCATTGGAACCAGACATTGCAAAAACAAGAAGAGAGGAATTCCAACAATAGACCAGAAGCTTTCGTGGTTATAAAAACACGATCTAGCTAGAAGTCTGGGCAACTTGCTTCTTCTAAAGATCCCATCACCTACATTAAATGCATTAAAAAAATAACAACTAGAAGATACAACTTTATTGTCCCAAAGGATTTTTCTTGAAAACATTTAGCTTCTCATCTAAGAAACTTCTTCAGAACTGAAAACGCTTCTTTGGACAAGAAGCAAAATGTTTTCAAGGAAAAAAAAAGAAGAAAGCCCAGCTGCCTTTTGAAAAAACCCCTTTGGGACAAACCATGATCTGCATGAGTGTGAATCTCCGTAGACATACAAGTTTATTCAATGAAGCAAGAGAGTAGAATGTGGGGAAGTTCTTAAGCCATCTTGAATCAAAGCCGATGAACGTAGCTCTTTCCCAGAAATGGCTTTCTATGCATCAGTGACAACTTGTCCTAAATGATCAGGCACATTGTGACGCAATCTTAGATGCTCTTCTGGCCCTTTCCCATTATCACAAGACCACCATGCCTTTGACCCCATAGTAAACAGGTGGAGAGATCCTTTTGGCTATAGAGCCCAAAGGGGATCCCTGACCTAGGCCAGCCTGTGTCACTTTAGTCACATTTAAGCTTTAGGGAAACCAGATTTTTTTTAGCTGACCTTTCTTCAGGCATTATGTTGATGGTATCTCAAAGTACCCAGCCATGAAGGTGAATTAGATCCATTATATACTCAGGCACAGAATCATGATTTATCTGAAAAGGTTGGTGAGGAATGTTGGTGTGCATTTGAGGTACCAAATCAAGGAGATGTGTAAGAAAATGGCCATAATTTAACTGAGGTTAGTTCGATCTGCACTGCAGAGTGAAGGATCTATACAACAAGGTAGGTTTTGCGTTTTGATTACTGGAATGAGAATACCAACAAAATATCGTTTAAAAGCTTACTGTCTGCTTATCTGGCATCATAAAAATATCAGAAGCTGCCTTGTGCCGAATCAGACTGCCAGTGCCACCCCATCTTAATAACACCAAAATTCCCTCACATGCTGCTCTCCAGATCTACAAATCCCAAATGTTTGATGATAAAAGAGCTTATAGGATAATCGATCAAATGCTAAGGACCGAACCAGGGATCTTTTTCATGTAAAGTACACGTTCAACTACTTGTAAAGCACAGCCTGTCCTCAAAATTAGAAAACCAAATTAGAAAACATAAGAACAAAAAGGCAAGATATCATAGTCCAAATCTGATTTAAAAGCCAAATAGCATGAAATATCAAAACTCAGCTGAGCTAATCTACAGTGGCAAAAAATAATAATAATAATCAGGAGATGTCCGGGAGCGCCTTTTCCAATTAATAGATGTTATTAAAAAGCAGAATCTTTTGTGAGCTGATGGAGGGAACTGCAGCTCACAAAAACATATGGCTTTTAATAAAATGTGTTACTCAGAAAAGGTTCTATCAACTTCCTTCTGATTTTTTTATTGTAACTCGGAGAGAATTTCCTCATTCATATTCCATAGAAGTTGCTACTTATTTCCAGTTCCCCGTCTCAAAATACATGAACAGGTGCAGAATAAAAAGGTTATGTCCACAGAATATTGCATATTTTTCTTCGTATAATCATGTTATCTGCAGAATGAACATGGCATTATATTTTTTTATTATCAGATAACGGAGGTGAAGAAATAGTAGATACAATGAGACTTGAGAGTAATAAAAAAAATTGCTAAATCTAGATTTTAGAGCGCAGCCCAAACTTGGCCCATATGCTTTGCCCTACAAAGAAAAGGCCATGTGTTCCCTCTACGTATGTCAGAGAATGAAAGCGCTTTGGGAAAAGATTAATAATTTTCTGAAAACTATCTTTGCTTAAGGGCACCTCTCGCAACATGTAAGTTTTCAGAGACAAGAATTCAGAGGACCGTCTTAAATTTATCACTCTTACAGGGGCTCCACAAATGATAGATGAGGGGTGCAAAGCACTTCTTACAAGAGTTGCACAGAAAGCAGAACGGATGCATGAATGACAGGAGGCCGATCTTTTATGATGTCACACACACACACACCCATTGCTATCCTTAGAAAAGAAGAGATTGTGGTTGAACAGAAATAAGGATGGAGTTGGTGAATTCCTTTCTCCTTCCCCTCACAGTCCCTAAATTCCATATGCTCCCAAATGCTGCCGGGACTTGAAAAACTCAAAGCAGATATTGTATTTTCTTTCTTTTCTTCTTTTTTCTTTTCTTCTTTTTCTTTCTTTCTTTCTTTCTTTCTCTCTCTCTTTCATGTTTGCAAATGACTGCTTAATCACTAAGGGAGATGCTTTGGCATACAAGCCAGCATTATGTTGGGAGAAAAGAGGTTAGGGCCATCTCTGAAAGCCTGCGATTAGGATACGGGCCCGTGTGTGATATTTCAACCAAGCTGTGCTAGGGCGAGTTTGCAACTGCCACAAAAAGATATATTTAGCTGGTTTCTTTTCTTTCTCTCTTGGGTCTCTTGTCATTCCAGGCATTGCTCAGACGTGGCTGCTCCGGCCCTCGGCAGATTCCACTCTGTTGACATATGTGCTCTCTCCTTCTTCTCCGCACACCCCTTCTGTCCACCAGTGCTACTTTGAATCTCGCCTGACGTACGGTGCCCAAAATGTCACTCATGGTTGGTCCTGTGTGGGATGTGGGTCTGGCTGACGGGAGGTGACAGCTGCAGGCAACGGTATCTAATGTACAGAGATGGCAGCTGGCCCTTAGAAGATGGGCATCCTCATTCCTATAATATAGGTTCCTTGGTTTCTCTAGGGTAGTGTCTAACTCTATGGAATAGCCATAGCAATAGCACTGATTTACAGTGCTTTTACAGCCCTCTCTAAGCGGTTTTACAGAGTCAGCCTCTTGCCCCCAACAATCTGGGTCCTCATTTTACCCACCTTGGAAGGATGGAAGGCCGAGTCAACCTTGAGCCGGTGGGACTTGAACTGCCAAACTGCTGGCAATCAGCAGTCAGCAGAAATTAGCCTGCAAAACTGCACTCTTAACCACTGCGCCACCACGGCTAAATATTTATTTCAGATCAGGGAAAAGCAAGCAATTTCCAAAATGATTAGTTAATTCTGACACCGATTCCACCGTCAGGTTATATTTTTTTTTAATCGATACAAGCCTTTTCCCTATCCTGCAAAGTCCACCGAGTGGGTATGACCTCAGACCTCAACATCCATGGTTTCAGGAGCATTATATCTGTCTTCCCACTCAGCAAATTTCCACGGAGGCCAACTCTGAGGATTTGCTTCCCCACCCCCTCCCAGGAAGACAGAGGCGCACCCCAGAATTACTACCTGGTATTTATGATTGGTGCCACACTGGAAATAAATGCGAGTTTGTCGATAAAACCAATACAGCAAAGGAATTAAGAAAAGCAGCCAAGCCGGCTCATGACCCAGAAGCTCTCCTGGAGACGTTCCATTGGGCCTGGAACTCAATCCATACATCTTGGATCTGCTGTTTTCTCTCTCTCTAACTGGCCTCCTACCTTTCGCTGTTGCTTTTCCCAGGCTGGGTCAAGCAGTAAGTCCCGATCCCAGTCTTCCTCCTGTGCCATGTAGTCTTCGGTCATCATGTAGCAATGGTTGTATTGCATGTGCGTTTCCATCTGAGTCGTCATGTTGCCTTGTTCTGCGAAGCCCTTTTCCTCTGTGCCTATTCTCTCCCTTACAATTTACACAGTTCCCCCACTCGCTCGAGCTTTCGGTCTCTTTTTCTGCTTTGCTCCCCTCTCTCGGCACCCCTTAGAGGTCAAGATCCCCCAAAGTCCTTCCAGGCTGTGCGTCTGCCTGCTTTGCAGCTGCACCTGTCAAAACCAATCCACGTGACCAGTCCTCAATAAGTATTATCAGCCCCGGGAAGGGGGATCAGGTTCCATCTTAAAAAGGCCACGGGGAGGGGACAGTGCAAGTGTTCCTACCAACCAGATAGGGGTGGTGAAGACAACTGTTGGGAGGCCAAGTATTCTCCCCCACCCCCACTTAAAGCAGAGCCGCAAGCTCTTAAAAAAGAAAATTGCTCCAGTGGTCTGAATGTCTCTCCCACAAAATCCATGCCAGATGCAGGAAGACACTCCTTAGAGCAAGAAACTCTGCTCAGGGAGGAAATTTCCCATTTTCAGTACAGCAAAAGAGGAAAAATCTTACATAGAGCACTGTCATTAACTTTCCACTAAGGTGCAAGGTACGGTTTTTGACATGCTGTCAAGATTCAAGAATAAACGTATGGCTGTTAATGAACAGAACAGAAGAGAAGAGAGCAACAGACTTGGAAGGAACTTGGAAGTCTTCAAGTCCAACCCCCAGCTCAAGCAGGAGACCCTATTCCATTTCAGACAAATGGCTGTCTAATAATCTCTTTTTAAAAAAATCTCCAATGATGGAGCACCCGCAATTTCTGGAGGCAAGCCCTTCCGCTGATTAAGGGTCAGCTGGCCTCCAGGTTGAGGAAGAAGTTAAGGCCAAATTAATTTCCAGATGTTCTCTTATGAATTTGGACTTGCAACCACGTTCTCCAAATAGATTCTAAAAATTTCCCAGTGTTTCCCATGACAACAACCAAACAACCTGAGTTCTTTTTGAGATCCTGACACTCTGTCCAATGAAATGTTTTTTTTTTTTTTTTTGGATGGATGGAATATGGCCTCTTTATTTGATTGCAAGTAATGAAGGAAAAACCTTCTGAACATGTTCATTTTCAGAAGTCTATTTCACAAGCTCTATATGGGGTTCCCCAATATTAAAACTAGATGCCGCGCGTCATCACAGGATGTTTGAAATTCCACAAACTGCTATTATTTTACAAAAGGTTACTTCTTCTTTGCGAAAAGTGCTGCAAGAAACCAGCCTCCCCCTGCACTTTAAAAATGTGATAGGTTTGTCGTTGCATCTCTCGGAAAGTCACATGTTGCATTTTGATATTTGAAATCCTCCCTGTGAGCTTTAAAACGTGCCAGAAGAAATACCTGTTGAAAGGTCATTTCAAGAGGAGAGGAAAAGGTTTTCAAGACTGACCTTATTCTGTTTGGGATACCATGGACACAGATTTGGTTTAGATTCCCAGAGCTTTCTGCTTCTTTGTATTTCACCAACATTTGCATAACACTCAATGCAGTTTCAATTCATTTGCAGGCTGCTCCTGTTACACAGGAGTTATTCTTAGGATCGGTGAGAAAGGGCTTGGGAAAGCTACTGAATGCCTAGGGGGGGAAAAGTCAGGTTCTAATTTAATGTTTCAAAGTAGACTAAAGGTAGACAAAGATTTTAATCCGTTGCTTTAAATCATATTTCTACAGCATTTTAGCTCCAATTCAAGTTCCTGTACATAGCAAAAACAACAACAAAGCAATGTACAGATATTTTAAAAGTCAGTCCCTTTTAATAATTTAAACAATATAGTCAAAAGACGAAAAGCACAGATAATGTACATTTAAATGTACAGATAACCAGATCTCTGCCTTTGTTTTGGTCCTTTTGACTGAAATTTAGCAATGTATAGGACCCTAACCTGCTTGTTTTTTGGGCTTTTAAAGGGTCAATGTTGACCCTGAGGAAGTTGCTGAAAAAGTCTCTGCAACTTTTTTGGCAAAATTATGCTAACGCTTTGTTAAAGAGGGAAGAAATTAACCAACACAAAGTTGGCTAATTCTAACATACTCTATATACAGTATGCTCCAAAGTAGTAGAAAGCTTATTTTATTTCATCTATTCTTTAACCAATCAAATTCCTCCCAGAGGGAGGTGCACCATTCCTGGAGGTACTGCAATACCAGGCTGATGCTTGGAGTGGACGGAGCAAGCCCCTATTCCATCTCCCAGTTCCAAAAATCCATTTAATATGTAGTCCTCAAATAGAGGACATATCAGATATTAAACTGATAAGAACAGATACTACACTTGATCTTAGCCAAAAGGCCGAGAAGCGATACCTTCCCTCGCCAGCAGCCTCCCAGGGCATTCTCTCCTATTAAACTTCAGATAATGACGAGCACATTTCTTACGGAATGTATTCCTTATCGCATCGGAATCAGCACTGCTTTGCAATCTCATCAGATACATTCTGACATCGTGCCTATTTCTACTGTCCAAGTTAACAGTCTTCTATTGTGAAGTTTTAACTATACAAATTATAAATTCTGCTAGCAACGCTCATTTCCTGATTGCCTGTGCTTCTTCTGACAGCTATTGGTACAATATTTGCATAAGCCTTCCCATTTTTCCCCATCATGCCTTTGTGGCTGTTATTTCAGGACTTACCAGTAGAGACGTGAGTCCTACTCTGAAAGCTTCTTGTTCGATGAGTGTTCTTCTGAGAAAAGAAAGGAAAAGGCCCATGAGAATACGATAAATAAAAAAGATGTCATAAAGATATTCCTTGCACAAAGCTTCCTGGTTTTCACATTTGTCCACAAAGACAAATGTAAATTCAGACGCTTTGCTTGCCGTTTCCTTCAAGCTTTGAGCATGGCTTATAGAAGCTTATTTTGAAAAATAACTGGTTATTGTATTCCTTAAACACATGCGATTATATTATAAATATACTTGCTCTGTTTCATACATATCAAAATGAACCAGCAACAATTATTATTAGTAGTGTTGAGTGCCCTATGGCGAAGAACACCAAATTCAGAACTGAAGAAGCTTCTTAGAGGAGAAGCAAAACATTTTCAAGGGGGAAAATAACCCAAGAAAGTCCAATTGCCTTTTGGAAAAGCAGCTTTGGGACAATCATGACCTGGATGGTTGAGAATCTCCATACCCAATTCAATAATAAACAAAAAATGTGTTAATCTGTTGCAATGGAAACAGAGAAACCACAGCCGTTTGTGGCATTTTTAAAAAAAGATGTAGACAGTTACATGTTGAATAACTGTCCCCCTCCAACCTGCACAAAAAGACCCCAAAGGGGGAGACTCTCTGCAGCAACAAAAACGTTCATTGCACATATCCATCCCAGAGGCTGTAGTTTGAGGAGCCCTGATTTAGTGCAATATAAAAAATGCGAATAATTTTTCTGTGGACCACCAAAATTTTCTTGCGGACCACCAGTGGTCCACAGATTACCAGTTGCTGACTGCTGCTATAGGTCACTGCATGTCAGAACTAGACACAAGATAGTTCCCCCCCCATGCCATCACTCTGCTAAACAACTAATTCCCCATAACACTGTCAAACTATCTAGAAAGGCAGCATTACCATCATTATTCTCATCTTCCCTATTACCTATCTCCTTATCTTATGACTGTAACTTTGTTGCTTGTATCTTACGATTTATATTGTTTACTTAGTATCCTAATATGATTTCTGTTGATTGCTTATTGAGTATCCACAATTATCACTAAGTGTTGTATCTAATGTTTTATGATGAATGTATTTTTACTATAATAGCAATAGTACTTACTTATATACCGCTTCACGGTGCTTTACAGACCTGTTTAAACAGTTTACAGTCTGTTGCCCCCAACAATCTCATTTTACCGACCTCGGAAGGATGGAAGGTTGATTCAACTTTGAGCCAGTCAGGATTGAACTGCTGGCAGCGGGCAGAGTTACCCTGCAATCCTGCATTCTAACCACTGGAAGGAAGGAAGGAAGGAAGGAAGGAAGGAAGGAAGGAAGGAAGGAAAAGGAGGAGGAAAGGACAGGAGAGGACAAGAGAGAGGAGAGGAGAGGAGAGAGGAGAGGAGAGGAGAGTAGCAATATCACCTAGACTTATATACCGCTTCAGTGCTTTACAGCGCCCTCTAAGCGGTTTAGAGTCAGCCTCTTGCCCCAAACAATCTGGGTCCTCATTTCACCAACCTCAGGACGAAAGGCTGAGTCAAATTGATCTATCGCTATTGTTGTATGCACACTGACAGCTTATGCACTGGAGACAAATTCCTTGTGTGTCTAATCACACTTGGCCAATAAAGAATAATAATACTTAAGACAATGGATAAAGTGGATCAAGGAGATCCCAGGACTGATTTTGAAGATGGAGAAGACAGAATTAAACACAAGTCCAAATGAAAAGCATTTGCCCATACAAAAGCAGGCCTCACGCCCACCTGTTCAGAACAATACAGGTAGTCCTCGACTTACGACCACCACGGAGGCCAGAATTTATGTGCTAAGTGAGACAACTTTTAAGCAGGTTTTGTCCCATTTTACGGCTTTTTTTGCCACTTTCATTAAGTGAATCACTGCAGGTGTTAAATTAGTAACAGGGTTGTTAAGGGAATCTGGTTTCCCCCACATTGACTTGGCTTGTCAAAAGGTCTCAAAAGGAGATCCCATGACCCCAGGACCCTGCAACCGTCATAAATGTGAGTCAATTGCCAGGTATCTGGAATGCAAATCATGTGCAACAGTCCTTAAGTGTGAAACACGATAAGGCATTTTTTTCAGTGCACCTTGTTAACCTCGGTCAGTAAGCAAATAATCATAAGTCGAGGACCACCTATATTTATCATTTGAACGCTTGGTGCATAACGGCATCTCTGACACAGCATGTCAGGGAGACAAATTTCTGAAGTAAACAAGGATTTTCTGTAAACAAGAAATTTCTGAGGTAAAAAAGCCGAGCGCCGATTGGACAAGAGACGCGCCGATCCGTTCGAAAGGCGGGCTTAGCAAGGGCGGCCGCCGCCGCTGATTGGCTAACGGCGGTTTGAGCGGGAAAGGGGCGGCTGAAGCGAAGCCGGAAGAAGAGGCGAGAGCGCGTGGGGCCGCGCACGCGCCGTCATGGCAGGCAGCGACTGGGACCGGCGGGTGCTGCCCGTATGCGTCGGGGCGGTGTTGGCGACCGCGCTGGTCGCGGAGGTGCTGGTGGTGCTGCTGCGATTCCGTCCGCCCGGAGAGCCCTTCCCGCTCTGGCCCATCGCCTCGCTGGTTTTCCTGCTAACGAGCGCGCTGGAGAGCGCCCGCCGCTTCATCATGGCTTCGCCCAGCACGCGCGGCGTCATGCTGGCGGGGGCGGGGCAAGGATGGGAGTGAGTGGGCGTGGTTACCGACCCGGCGGGGACCAATGGGAAAGCGGTCGCGCCTCGAGGGCGGGGTTTCTAAAAGTGGCGGGAAAAAAGCCCCCCCCCCCCCCCCCCCCCCTGCGGGGGGGGGGGCTGCAATAATGAGGGAATTAAATCTCAGAGGAAAATGGAGACGAGACTGTTTTGGAGGAAACTAGGATCTCTGCACGTGCTCAGGAACACGCTGTTTCTCCATTGCGCTTCTTTTTTTTCAAAACTTCAGAAAAAAAGGGGAAAAATTTGGGAGAATATCAAGCCTTTCCCAATATGGAGGAGGAGCTTTAATGAAAACAAATGATTAAGTTTATTGAACTTTTTAAGCCCTCATGGTTCCTAGGTTTATGAGGCCCCTATCTCAAGGAGGCAGCCAGCTGTGGATTGACCAAAAGTGTAAAGGAAAGAAGGAGGTATTGCTTTCTCTCAGCCCAATCTACCTCACAGGGTTGTTGTGGGGAAAATAGCAGGAAGGAGGAGTATTAAGTAGGTTTGCCTCTTCGAATGACATAAAGTAATAAAGGGCAGGATAAAAATCAAATAATTCGTCGGGCGTAGAGTAGTATTTGTGGACTGCAGATTTCAGACAGACCACTAGATGGCACCAAAGAGACAGGAGCTACTCTTTGCTGCCCTCTAGTGACTGCCTCATGTATGTATTTTATCTGTTTGTTTGCATGCCATCTTGTTGCAAGGTGATGCTGGGCGGCATACAATATTTAAAAGCAACAGAATAATAAAATATTTCCAATAAAAATACAAATTATAATTAGAAGATTGGGAAGAAAGGGGCAGGATGTGCAGGGAGGGGGGAATCTTCTATTGGTCTACCAACCACATTAGTTTTTTTTTCAAAGAAGGATTGGAATCCCAAAGGAAGACAAATGTACTCCCTGGGCTGAACCAATAAGGCTTTATTGGCGTATCTATTTATATCCTATCTTTATTTTTTTATAAACAACTCAAGAAGGTAAATATACTTAATGCTCCTCCTTCCAATTTTCCCACAGCAACAATTCTGTAAGGTGTTTGGGCTGAGAGTCAGAGGCTGGTCTAAAGTCACCCAGCAGGCCTTAATGTGGAACTAGAACTCATTGTCTCCTGGTGATTGGCCCGAAGTCACTCACCTGGCTTTCATGCCCAAGGCAGGACTAGAACTCACTGTCTCCTAGTTATTGGCCAGGAGACAGACAGCTTTCATGCCTAAGGCGGGACTAGAACTCACTGTCTCCTAGTGATTGGTACAAGGCACCCAGTCAGCACCATCTAATCATCCACCCTCTCCTAACGCTCATTCTTTCGCCTCCCTCCAGTTACTGCTATGCCTGCCAGACTCACGTGCCGCCCCGCTGCAGCCACTGCTTTACCTGCAACGTTTGCGTCCTGCGACGAGATCACCATTGCCTGCTGCTCGGCCAGTGTTTAGGCTATCAGAACTACCGTTACTTCCTCTGCCTGCTGCTTTATGGGTCGGTCGCCTTGCTGTACGGCAGCTTACTCAATGCTAACGTGGTTTGGATGCTGCTAGAGGAAGGTGGCTTTGCATACAAAATCCTCCTGCTGATGCTGCCTTGGCTGATGTTCCTGATGGGTAAGAACGAGTGAGAGCTTTTATTTATTTATTTATTTATTCATTTATTTCAGGGGTCAGCAACCTGCGGCTCCGGAGCCACATGTGGCTCTTTGGGCCCTCTGCTGTGGCTCCCTGTCGGGTGATCCCACAACTAGCTGGCCCCACCCTTCGCCCTCCCCTCCCAGTCACTCCTCGCCTGGCTTGAGAAGGTACGGATGATGGCAGGGGATGGAGAAGTGGCCAGAGCAGAGACAGAGAGATACAGAGAAAGAGATATAGAGAGAGGGGGAGGGAGGGAGAGATATGTCAAAAGGGTTTTGTAGTTCCTGGTGTTTTTTAACAACTGGTTCTCTGCCCTAATGACCGGCTGGGTAGGCGTGGCTGGGGGGGTCATGTGACTGGTGGAAGTGAGTGACATCGAGTTGGCCACGCCCACCCAGGTTTTGTGGCTCCCAGTGTTTTCTTTTCTGTGGGAAACGGGTCCAAATGGCTCTTTCAGTGCTTAAGGTTGCAGACCCCTGCTTTATTTAAAAGAAGAAGGTGGACATTTTTTGGTATCTGGGATCCCACCTCCAAGGCACTGGTGAGGTACGAGCAAGGGGGTGAATGCAGCCTGGATGCATTGGCGAGAACTCACCGGTGTGGTATGTGACAGACGAATGCCAATCCATCTTAAATTTTAAAGATTTACAAGACAACCATCCATCCTGTTGCACTGTATGACACTGAATGCTTTGGCAGCAACAACAGGGACCGAAAGCTATCTCCGTGCCATGGAAATGCGAATCCTCCGTTGGGATATCGGGCATCTCCCTTCTTGACCACATCATAAATGACACCATTCGACAACCATAGAGAAGATGAGAGAAAGCTGGCTCCACTGGTATGGACGTGTCCAGAGAGCAGCACCTTCCACGGTTGCCAAGACTGCCTACCAACTGGAAGCCAATGGCTGGCGATCTTGCGGGCGTCCAAAACAGAGATGGCAAGACATCATCAAAACCCTGGAGATGCAGCTGATCATGCAAAGTGGCATTCAATGATCCAAAAAGCTGACCCTGCAATTTACGGGAATATACGTTAGGAAGAAGATTTATTCATTTATTTAACATATATGCCCCCCATCTAGCCGGGATTTGATTTTGGGTGGCTATCAAATATATAAAAAAAAAAAAATACAGATGGTCCTTGACTTAACAACCATTCATTTAGTGACCATTCAAAATTACAAAGGCACTGATAAAACTTACCTGACCGTTTTTTCACATTTATAACCTTTGCAGCATCTCCGTGGTCACATGATCAGAATTTGGACTCTTGACAATTGGCATGTATTTATGACGATTGCGGTGTCCTGGGTTCAGGTGACCTTCTAACAAGCGAAGTCAGTGGGGAAGCTAGATTCCCTTAACTGTGTTACTTAACTGCAGCTTGTCTGAACAGCTGTGGGGGAGAAAGATCGTAAATTGGGGCAAAGCTCACTTAATAATTCTCACTTAGCAACAGAAATTTTGGGCTCAAATTGTGCTCAAAAGTCGAGGATTACCTGTAAAATGTTAGAACAATAAAAATAATTTACAATGAAAAGGTAGGTAGGAAGGGAACAAGAAGCACGTGAGGGCAGGGGGGGGGTTCTTGTCTTAATCATGGCTGCCTGGGGAATTCTGGGAGTTGAAGTACACAGATTCTGGGAGTCTGAAATTGCCAGAGTTGGACACGTCTGCTCTAGATGAAGCAGCTATAATTACGCCTCACCTTCCTTCTCTTGCAGGGCAAGTCAGTTTCGTGACCTTTGTCTACGCTTTTGTGACCGACATCTGTGTTGTGGGCTTCTTGTTCTGCATCAGTTTCCTGCTGTTCCACAGCTTGCTGGCCCTGCGCGGACAGACCACCAAAGAATGGTTCGAAGGGAATCGCCGGTACCACTTGGGCTGGCGAAACAACCTTCGGCAAATCATGGGAAAACGCTGGCTGCTGGCCTCCCTCACGCCTTTCATCACTTCCCATTTGCCAGGAGATGGAATCACGTTCCAAACCAGCTCTCCGAAAACAGAAGTGCTCTCCAGATCACCCAGCAACTAAAGGTGTGTTTCTGGGATTTTAAACAATTAGGAAGTGTGTGGGAATCCCCCCCCCCCAAAAAAACACGTCCATCTGGTTTGTTAAAACAATTAAGTACAGAGTCACCCTGTGGCGAGCTAGATGGCAAACAAATTTAATAATAAATAAATTATAATTTGTAGTACTATATACAGGTATTCCTTATCTTAAAACCATTTATTTAGGTACCATTCCAAGTTACACTTCTGAAAAACTGACTTATGACCGCTTTTCACATTCAGTTGCAGCCTCCTCTTCATCATGTGATCAAAATTCAGATGCTTGGCAACTGACTCCTATTTATGACAGTTGCAGTGTCCCAGGTCATGTGATCACCTTTTGTGATCTGACAAGCAAAGTCAATGGGGAAGCCAGATTCACTTAACAACCGTGTTATGTGGTGGCGCAGTGGTTAAAATGCAGTATTGCAAGCTAATTCTGATGACTGCTGGATGCCAGCAGTTTGACGGTTCGAGTCTAATTGGCTCATGGTTTACTCAGCCTTCCATCCTTTTGATGTCAGTAAAATGAGGACCCAGATTGTTGGGGGGCAAGATGCTGACAATAAACTGTTTAGAGAGGGCTGTAAAGCACTGTGAAGCGATATATACGTCTAAGTGCTATTGCTAACTAAATAGCTGCAATGATTCACTTAACTATGTCAAGAAAGATCAAAAAATGGGGGGAGAATCATTTAACAGCTGTCTTGCTTAGCAACAGAAATGTTGGGCTCAATTACGGTGGTAATTTGAGGACTGCCTGTAGTATTATAGTCCTATACAGATATACATGATAGATCTGTAGAACATTTTTAAATGTTGAATTGCGTCACCTTACTAGTAGTCCTTGACTTACAACCACAATCGGAACCAGAATTTACATTGCTAAGATGTAAGATGGTTGTTAAGTGAGTTGCACATGATTTTATGACCTTATTAAGCAAATCATTGCAGTTGTTAAGTGAATCACATGGTCATTAAGCAAATTTGGCTTTGCTTGTTGGGATCTGGCTGGGAAGGTCTCAAATGTCAATCATGTGACTCAACGACACTGTTACCATTGTAGATCAGGGGTCCCCAACCCCCAGTCCATGGACCAGCACCTGGCCAGGGTCTGTCAGAAACCGGGTCATATAAATTAGTGAAGCCCCATCTGCGGGATGCAAGCAGCACAAGGAACCACACCCTCTCTGGTCCGTAGAAAAAAATCTCCACAAAACTGATCCCTGGTGCCCAAAAGATTGGGGACCACTGTTGCTCCTGAATTTTAATCATATGACCCTGGGGATGCTGTGATGGTCATTGTCATATGTCGTGTTTTTCACTGCTGTCGTAACTTCGAATGGTCACCAAACGACTAGTTGTAAGTCAAGGACTATCTGTGTGTTCAAGTTTGCTGATGACGGATTCTCTCTCTTCTAGGATTTCCCCACCTGTAATTATGAGGAAAATTGAGTTCTTTTCAACGATGGCTCTCTTCATTTGAAAGCAGACAACTTGGGTGAAAATTCTGAAGGTTTTGTCTTACATCGTTGAAAGCTGAAAACAGTGTGATCTTGGAACGGTGGTGACTGATTGTTTTCCCCACACTCCCTGGGAAAGGGGCTTGTAATGCTTTCGTTTCAGTGATCTGGGAAGAAGGAAATTGCTAACTGGAGCAAGACGGGGGGACACTCATGCTTCGCTAAACTGGTCTAAATGCAATGGTTAATACTGCTTTCTCCTGGTCTAAAGTATATTATATATGTGTCTGTGTATTTTTTTTTTCTCCCTCTTATATCCATTGCTCTCCAAATTTGCACACCCCTTCTTTTCCCAGCTTGGGAAAAATGTGAAGCTAAAACCAAAAGTCAAACACTGCCTAGAAATGGATTCAGGGACCAAAATCCAAGTTTATAATGCTTTGCATCTCAGTTGTTTTCTCCCCTTGCAGCAATTGTGAGACTGGTTTTTTTTTTTATCCTGAGTCCTGAGATCATGCAGAAGTCAACAAACCTTACGTTGTGAAATATTAGTACAATGTTTCTCAACCATGGCAACTTTAAGACAAGTGGACTTCTCCCAGAATTCCCCAGCCAGCTATGCTTTAAGAGGGGATGGGTTTCAACTTCCAAAATTAAATCATGCTGGAATTCTGGGAGATGAAACTCACCCCTCTTAAAGTACCTTGCCTGAGGAATTCTGGAAGTTGAAGTCCACCCATCTTTAAATTTCCAAGGTTGGGAGATACTGTGTCAGGGAAATGGTTAACAATTTTTACCCCTTGCTATTCTGCCTGTTCCTTCCCCATATTTGGCACTGTTCCACCCAATATTGTCCACCCAAATGTCTCTCTTCTTCCTTTCATATCCAAAATCACCAATCCCCATAGACATGGTTTGCACTGTGAGAGACCCACAAAATGTGTGGGCATTTACTGTATTCTTTTTTCTTTTCTTTATGTTAGATTTTATCCACTTCGTTCTATGATTGTTTCTAATACGGTATTATTTTTTAATGCTTTAATGTTTTTATGCTATAAGCTGCCCAGAGTTGTTGGATACAAGATGGGAGGTTAACAAATTTCCTAAATAAAGAAATAAAGCTTTTATACAGTGCCTTTTATATTTAACTGAGCACTGATTGCACTGTAAGCTTTTCAACCCGAAAAAATTAACTCTTTTCCCATTTCTTCAAGTCAGGTGTACAGACTATTATCAGTGCGGTTAATTTGAATGCGTCAAGATAATGCGGTGGCCCTTGGTTAGTGTGAACAATCTCGAGAAGCTCAAAAGCAGCACTGCTTCCCAAATGTCTGCCTCTCTTAGTAACTTTGAATTATGTTGGCCTTGGATAAATGATTAAAATTATATTTTTCATTGCAGGGAAGTGTGGGGCAAATGGCTATTTTTCTGTTTTAACGTTTCATGTAACTTCTTGAGAAGAGATAAATAAATGAAAAAATTAAGTGGTGATGCCATCCTTTTGTGATCTCTTTATGTTGTTGTTGTTTTAAGTGGCATTGTAGTTGGTTGATCGGAGCAGAGGTCCCCAAACCCCATGCCAGGACCATAAGACTGTTTTGTTTAGATCTGACTAAGAGTCAAATTTGCTGTGTTATTTCTTTTTATGTATTAATTTTTTTTTAAAACTGTCCACCTACACAAAGGGACTTTATTTACTGATTAGAGCAGTGTTTCTCTACTTCACCAACTTAAATCTGGGTGGACATCAACTCCCATTGCTGACTGGGGAATTCTGGGAGTTGAAGTCCGCCCCGGTTTAAATTAACCCTGGGAGCACTGGATTAGAGAAAGACGTATCACTTAAAACACACCAAATATCCCACTGAGCTAAAACTTCTGTTTGAGTCTCCTTTGGCTTCAGCTTCTAGGAAGAAGCTGTTGAAACACATCGTAGAAATAATAACCGATATATCTTTCTTTTCAGCTGGGTTCAACCCTGTGACACAGACTTGAGGTACGAGGCCCAGCTAGACTTCCAATCTTAGCAGTGGTGTTTCCATGCCAACATCCAGCCTGTCCTGTGTCTTGCCTTGATTCCAGAACCCTCCGCTTTGGCTGGCCTTGTTCTGAAAGAGGACCAGTTGCTTCGGTAACCAGAGAGTAGCCAGGACTCTTCCATGTTGTCGTGGGCACCATGTTGAACCCTCATCGCCAGTCTGTGCTGACCAATGCCTGTATCAAGCCCTCGGTGGATCCCATCACCCGAACCCCCGGCACCATCTATGAACCAAAGGGGCAGGTCCGACTTTTGGGTCTGCTTTCAGAGAATACCTCGTCGCAGCAGGTAGCTTGGGTTGGCCTAACACCATTGTCATGGGTTATGGGTTCATGCCCTGCAGAAAAGTCTAATTCGTCTTAACTAACCAGTTAGAAGAGAAGAGCAAGCAGAGACAGAGGGTGTTGTGACCCAGGCCCAAGTAGTTATTACCAGACACAATCAGTTTTAAACATATTTTATTAGAACAGCTGAGAATTACTTCATTCTCCGCTTAGTCCAAATTAATTCCAAAACAAATTCTTCATAAACAGTCCTTCGGCCTTATCACCAACCTTTGTTTTCTTTGGCACTGTGCCAAAGGCTTTTCTTGGCAAGAACCCCACAAAGTTCAGAAGCAAGGGACACTGACAAGAAACAAAATGTAGCAACGTTGCTTTCCTACAAAGATCCCAAGAGCCGTTGCTGCTCTTTTAAGCCGCCTTGGAGGGCCCAATCATCTGGCCTTACTGCTGAGTCGTCCTTTTTGCTTTAGCTGCTCTTTTCTTCTGGCAGCTCTTCGCATGTGTGCACTAGGAACAGGCTCCTTCTGTTCCTCTGCCTCTCTGCTATCCGCCTCTGGAGGCCCCGGAGTCCACACATCGCTTCCAGATGGCCCTGGCCCCATCTCTGCCTCCGACACAGAGCCCTCGTCTGGGCCTTCCCCTGACTTCAGGACTGGCCCATTGTCCTCCCCAGCCTCCTCACTGTCCGACTCCGTTGCCAGCTCCGCAAGCTGCTGGTGGACCACAACAGAGGTGGTGGTGGTGGTGGAGTAAAGCAAGTCATCAGCCTAGAATTGTTACGTTCCCATAAACGGTCTAAACCCAAGTCCTCTTAAATTCCGTTGATCCTTATCTAGTGTCACGTTAGTACTAACATTAGTTGACTAGATTCTTGTGTAAGGCTTAAGCAATGAATCTTAACTGAAACTGATGGTCCTGATTTTTCACACCTGACACTAGCAACGGAAGGATCTACCCAGTGCATTAAGCTTTGGCGGGGGCAAAGAATAGCCAGAGCACCCATTAGAGGCTCACCAGTCTCTTTTAAAAAGAGACTGGACAGCTACTTGTCTGAAATGGTATAAGGTCTCCTGCTCCTGCTCCTCCTCCTAGAAGACCTCCAAGGCCCCTTCCAACTCTTATTCTGTTATATCTTCCTTAGCCATCAAGTTCCCTCTTTGCTTTTTCTCAATTAAGAATTTTGTTAAAATTGTCATCCAATTAAACCACCCAGAGTCACCTTGTAGAGGTGATGGGGCGGCATAAACATGAAACAAATAAATAAAAAATCATAAGATACAAATAAAAATAAACATCATGACGGGGAAAATGAAAAAGGGGAAGAAAAGGTGTAGGTGTAAGGAAAGGGAAAAAAAGCATTAACTCCCAACCTCTTTCGGCGGATTAAAATACAGAATAAAATTGCAGCCCCCGCATTTTCCTTTACCAATTTAAACGAATACTGAATTTCTATAGCAACAAGCCATTCATCAGCAAACATTAACGTCAAGAGTTCATTGTTTTTCTGTCTTGAACACAGAGTCCAGAAGCAGTTCCCAAGTCGAAACAAAGATGGATATGTTCTTTAATTAAAGCAGCCATGCTATTTGTTGTCCATCAAGTTCCCTTAATGCATTTATAGAAGCTTTTCATTAAAATATAAGACTCTGTAAAGAGACACACCGATCTCAAGCATTATCCTGATTAGTAGACCAATTATAAAAGTACTTTAGATAGTTCATCTGGTTAATGTCTGCGTTCATTCCTTCAATTTCTATCCTAACTACAGGTAGTCCTCGACTTAAAACAATTTGTTTAGTGACTGTTCGAAGTTACAGTGGCACTGAAAAAAAGCGACTTATGACCGTTTTTCACACCGATGACCGTTACAGCATCCTCATGGTCACGTGATTTATATTTGGAAGCTGTGGCAACTGGTTCATACTTATGACCATTGCAGTGTCCCAAGATCACGTGATCCCCTTTTGGGACCTTCTGACAAGCAAAATCAACAGGGAAACCAATTTCACTTAACAACCAGGTTACTGGTTTATCGACTGCAGAGATTCATTTAATCACGTCGTAAAATGGGGCGAAACTCACTTAACAAATGTCTCACTTGGCAACTAACTTGCATTTACAAGAGTTGCAGCGTCCTGCAGTCACTGGGACCTTCCCAGCTGGCGTATGACAAGCAAGTCAATGATGAAACCGGCAGGGAAAGTCACAGGTCGCAATCATGTGATGTCTTACTTAACAACCATGGTGATTTGCTTAATGGCCACAGCAAAAAAAGGTTCTGAAATTGAATGCGGTCACATGGCGCCTCATTGAATGATGGCACTACTTAACGGCAAATTTTCTGGTCCCTCTCGTGGTCATAAGTCAAGGACCACCTATAGGGGTAAAATTGATAATCAGAATAGAGCTGGAAGGGACCTTGGAGGTCTTCTAGTCCAAGCCCCTGCTCAAACAGGAGCCCCTATTCCATTCCAGACAGTCTTCTTAAAAACCTCCAGTGATAAAGCACCCACAATTTCTGGAGGGAAGCTGTTCCACAGGTTAATATTGTCGTCACCCAATTCCTGCAGCTGTTCTTCCTATGTTTTAGTCTCCAGGCCTTTAATCATCTTAGTTGCTCTTTTCTGCACTCTTTCCAAAGTCTCAACATCTTTTTTGTAGTACGGCGACCGAAACTGGATGCAGTATTCCAGGTGTGGCCTTACTAAGTCTTTACAAAGCGGTACTAATATTAAAATTGCCCAAGAAAGAACAGCATTTTTCTCTTTCCTTAGGAGGACTACCTGGATGCTGGCGATGGACTGCTCATCTGTATGAAACGCGCTAAGAAAAAATCCCTTCGCCCTCTCTTCAAGGGCTGCTGGGAACCCGAACAAGACGTCCCCGATGTCAGCGAAGCCTCAGATGTCGACCCCGATCAAGGCGTAAACAAGTGAGTTTGGTGAATGCTTTCTCTGGCTTTAATCCTTTTTTTTGAAATTAAATTGCTGTCTGTGACCATAGGATTGTGGGTCCTCCAGGAACTTAAAGCCAGTTGCAAGGAGGGTTGTGCGGATCTATGAAAAAAGCTCAGTGTGTAGACCCTCAGGCTGTAAAGTGGGGGGGGGGGAGAATAATCTAGATCTATGAAAAGAGTTCAGAGTGTGTCAGGTTGTGCAAGGATATGTGGGGAAGAGCAGAGGAACAGTCAGATAAGAGACAGCATAACCCTCAGCTGGGTAACAGGCAGGGTAAGAGGTTCAGAAGGGACCCTCCCTAGTTTCTCAGGCTGTAAAGGAGGGGAGGGGAAGAATTTAGATCTATGGAAAGAGTTCAATCTTATCAGGTTGTGCAAAGATGCTGTATATGGGGAACACCTTGGGAGATGGAGCAAATAGATATTGCCCAGGAATGGTCAAATAAGAGGCAGCATAACGCTCAGCTGTGTAACAGGTAAGACAAGAGGCTCAGAACAGATCCTCCCTAGTTTCTCAGTCTGTAAAGGAGTTGGCGGGTGTGGTATGTGGGGAAGACCTTGGCAGATGGGGCAAAGAGATGCTGCCAAGGGAACAGGCAGATAAAAGACAGTATAGCCCTCAACTGCATAATGGATGTAAAAAGAGGCTCAGATGGCACCCTCCCTAGTTTCTCAGACTGTAAAAGAGCGGGGAGAGCATCTAGATCTATGAAAAGAGTTCAGAGTGTCAGGTACATGTGGGAAAGACTTTGGGAAACAGAGCAAAGAGACCCTGCCCAGGAACGGTCAGATAAGAGACAGCATAGCCCTCAGCTGTGTAACAGGCAGGGCAACAGACTCAGAAGGGACCCTCCCTAGTTTCTCAGGCTGTAAAGGAGATACTATAATAGTATGTGGGGAAGCCCTTTGGAAGTGGGCAAAGAGACATTGCCAAGGGAACATCAGATAAGAACCTCAGCTTCCTAATGTGTGGAGAAAGAGGCTCAGAACGAACTCTCCCTAGTTTCTCAGGCTGTAAAAGGAGTAAAATATAAATCTATGGAAAGAGTTCAGAATGTGTCAGGTTGTGCAAGAATATGTGGAGAAGACCTTGGGAGAAGGAGGAAAGAGACTCTGTCAGATAAGAGACAGCATAACCCTCAGATGTATAACAGGCAGGGTGAGAGGCTCAAAAGAAACTCTCCCTAATTTCTGAGGCTGTAAAGGCTATAATAGTATTTGGGGAAGACCTTTGGAAGTGGGCAGAGAGACATTGCCAAGGGAACATCAGATAAGAACCTCAGCTGCCTAATGCGTGGAGAAAGAGGTTCAGAAGGGACCCTCCCTAGTTTCTCAGGCTGTAAAAGGGTGGAGAATATAAATCTATGGAAAGACTTCAGAATGTGTGCAAGGGTGTATGGGGAGACCTTGGGAGACAGAGCAAAGAGAACAGTCAAATAAGAGACAGCATAACCCTCAGATGTATAACAGGCAGGGCGAGAGGCTCACAAAGAGACCCTCCCTAGTTTCTAAAGCTGTAAAGAAGTGAGGGGGGGAGAAATCTAGAACTATGGAAAAAGTTCGGTGTGTGTGCAAGGATATGAGGAGGGGGAGAAGACCTTGGGAGATGGAACAAAGAGACCTTGCCCAGGAACGGTCAGATAAGAGACAGCATAGCCCTCGGCTGTTAAACAGGCAGGGCAACAGACTCAGAAGGGACCCTCCCTAGTTTCTCAGGCAGTAAAGGAAACGGCGAGAGAGTTGTACTTTCAGGCTTGCAAGATTCCTGTCAACGTGATTTTACAATATAGTAGAATTATAGCTCCCCTGTTTGTTTGTTTCTTACCTGGTTTAGCCTGGCTAAACAGCAGGTGTGCAGGACCTGGGTCTGATTTTAGCTCCACTTCCCCCTAGGCAGCTGGAGCCTGCCCCTCAGGAGCAGCAGAGCAATGAACCTCCGCCTCCCGAGCACCCCAAAATAGCTCCTCGCCAAGGCTCCTTCCCCTTTCACTGGATGTGGGAGAGTTTTTCCATCAAAGGCCAGACCATCTGCCAAGACCAGGTTTTGGATAAGACCAAGAAGCTGACTTTGCCGCGAGCCGCGACTGCCCCATCCCGGGAGACTCTTTACAACCCTGACGCCATCTTGGGCTCCCCAGCTCCCAAAGAGAGCCACTGCTTGGGAGCCCACAAGTCTGCCAGAACTCCTGAGGTCCCTTGCAGCAGGCCCCAGAGGTACTTGCCGCATATGGCCTTGGTTCCGAGGAGCTCTCTCCTGCCCCTCTTCTGGAAGATGGAAGCCCGGTCAGAAGCTCGGAAGCGACAGCTACGTCAGGAACGTCGCCATTGGTTGCATCTCACCCAGCAGCTCCTGAACCTGGAAGGGCACCGCCACTCGCGAGAGAAACACCTCTCGCTCGAGGAGTTAGAAGAAAAACTCCGAGCGGAGATGCTCTGCTTAGCCACGGAGCCCGAAGAGCCAGTCCCTCAAAAGGAGAAAAGGAAATCTAAGTCTCGCAGCCCGACTCCCAAGGAGGAGCCGACCTTCAAGCCGGTCATTAACCAGAAGGTGCCCAACTTCAAGTATCTGCAAAAGCGCTTCCACGACCAGCTGGAGCAGAAGAAAGAGCAAGGTGGGTGCGGGAGAGCCTCGCCGACAGGCAGGAGTTTGTGAAGGCCACACCAGGTGCAGGGAAGGGAGGCCAGCAGCCAGACGGATGATAGTAATAGCACTTAGACTTATAATAGTAATAGCAATAGCAATAGCACTTAGACTTATATACTGCTTCACGGTGCTTTACAGCCCATTCTAAAATCAGCTTATTTCCCCCCAACAATCTGGGTCCTCATTTTACCCACCTGGGAAGGACGGAAGGCTGAGTCAACCTTGAGCCTGGTGAGATTCAAACTGCCAAACTTCTGGGCAGCCGGCAGTCAGCAGCAGTAGCCTGCAGTACTGCATTCATACCACTGCGCCACCGGGATTCCTAGTGTACAGATAGCCCTTGACTTATGGCCGCAATTGAGCCCCAAATTTCCATTGCATTCCGTTAAGACCATTGTTATTTGGGTTGCGCCCCATTTTACGACCTCTTTTGCCACCATTAAGTGAATCAGTTCAGTTGTTAAGCAACTCGTAGGTCTCATTGAGCGAATCTGGCTTCCCCCGTTGGCTTTGTTTGTCAGGAGTCAGCTGGGAACTTTACAAGTGGTAATCCCTGGACATTGCAACTGTCATAAATACATGCCAATTGTCAAGCGACCGAAGTCTGATCCCATGACCACGGGGATGCTGCATTATTCTACGTCCAGTGTGAAAAAAGCGGTCCTAAGTCACTTTCTTCCGTGCCGTTATTAACGTCAAACGGTCGCTCAGTGAGCTGTTATACGTCGGGGACTGCCTGTACGTCCGTTTTCTCTACCTTTTCCAGGAAAACTGACCGTCTGCAAGCCGTTCCACCTTCATTCCAGTAGCTCTCAGCCTCCTTCAGAAGACGAGGAAAAAAAAGACCAGGAAGATTTCTTTCAAGACCTCCGGCGGCTTTGGAGCATACATTGGAGGGTCCAGTCATGTCCAGATTTTGAACCGTCATTGGCTCCTCAAGTGATGTCCACCAAGACATCTGATAAAAGACAGCAAGCTAACAGGTAGGTGTATGGGTTGCTTTCAGTGTTCCCCACCCCCACCCACCCCCAAAAAATTCTGGGGTTTTCAATAGTGGCGAATATTTATAGCTCGGGTTTAGGATGAGGGCGAAGGTTCATTCTCCGAGCTTGTGGGTCAGTTTCCAAACGTTTGGTTACCCAGGCTAGATAACATCTTCATCGGAGTTTAGGGTCCATCGCACGGGTGAAATGCTACCGGTTCAGACCTGTTCACCTGAACCGGTAGTAATAAAAGCTACAGGTTCGGGCGAACCGATAGGGAAAAAAAATGCTACCGGTTCAGAATACCATTGATATTTCCGATGGTCAGCTGAAATTTAGATTTCTAGCGAATCTAAATCGCACGGCACAGCTGTTCCCCTCCCCCTCGCTGTTCTACATACCTTAGAAAAGGCTTCTTAATCCTCCTTTTTTAGCCCTGCCTGGTAGCGCCTGTTGTGCTCCTGCATGCAAAGTGTGCATTTGGCACGCACCGCGTATATGCACACATAACAAACTGGTAGCAAAGCAAACCAGTAGCAGACTTTGGAGCATTTCACCCCCGTTCCATCGCAAGACTCACCGATGACTCACAGTTGACCCGTCACAACACTTGACACACCCACAACTGAAGCCCTTATAAACAGAAGAACATCGACACTGACATCCCCTAAACTCCGCTGAAGACGTGACCCAGTCTGGTAACGAAACGTTAGGAAAGCAACCCACAAGCTCGGAGAACGGACCTTTGCCCTCCACCATTGGGGTATATTAGACGAATAAAAATACGTCAGTGAAAAACCACAAACTTGCCAACTTGTCAGCTGAAGAACTTACGTAGAAATTGTCTCTGCCTGGAACCAAAAAACTAAAATAAAGATTTTTGCCTTTCAGTTTTAAGTTACTGAACAAACTTCCGCAGTTGGGTTAACCCAAGAGACTCCGGTTTAGTGACTCACAAGTCAGTTTTGTTTGGCAAACTCAGGCACTATCTGGGTAATAGTTAGCTATTACAGGTAGTCCTCGACTTACAACCACAATTAAGCCCAAAATTTCTGTTGCTAAGCAAGATATTTGTTAAGTGAGTTTTGTCCCATTTTATGACCTTTCTTCCCACAATTGTTAAGTGAATCAGCTGGCTTTTATGGCTAAAATGGACTGGAATTCATAATCTTATGGGGATTGGTTCAAAATTCCCGAGCTGGCTTTCATGGCTAAGGTGGGACTTGAACTCACGGTCTCCCACTGTCTGGTCTAGTGCCTTAACCACGAGACCAAACGTCTTATTTGCAAAATGAATTGTCGTAAGTCGAGGACAGCCTGTGTCAGCATCTCCTGTCTTTGTTCCATTCTTAGAGCATTTTCCCATCGCCTTAACTCCAGTCTCTTTGTCTAGGTTGCTTTTGCTGGAATGGGAACGTCGAGAACAGCAGGAGAAACACCGTGCTGAGCTGCGCAGATTGAAGGCGCAACACATGCAGCGGGAAGTGGCCAAATGCTTGGCAACTTACCGGAATAAAGGATGTTCCATGTCTTTCCAGAAAAGGCGGGAAGAACTCAGGTGAGTATCTCCACTCCCATCCCACCCCCATCTCCAAGACATCTGAGTTTCACCAATTACTGGATCAAGGTGTTTATTTTGGTACCGGGATGGGAGACCATGAGGAGATCCCGGCAGGGAAGCTAGGAAAATTGAAAAATTAGCTCAGATCCAAAATGGAGGAGCCAGCTGGTTGCCAAAAACCTATAGGAATAGATCTGTGAAGTTGAAGAAACAAACAAATTGGCAGAGAAATTATTCTATGTTAATGACAGGGATTGGAGGCTCGTACAGGACCTTGAAAAAAAATTTTTTTTTAAAAACATTGATTAATTTACTGGATTTATGTAGCTACCCATCTCGAATACAAAACTTTAAGCAATAAAATTTATAAATAAAATTTGTAAGCTTTGTTGAGCAATAGTAATAGCATTTAGACTTACATACTACTTCTCAGTGCTTTGCAGCCCTCTCTAAGCGGTTTACAGAGTCAGCCTCTTGACCCCAACAAGCTGGGTCCTCATTTTACCCACCTCGGAAGGACAGAAGGCTGAGTCAACCTTGAGCCTGGTGAGATTCGAACTGCCAAATTGCAGACAGCCGGCAGGCAGCAAAAGTATCCTACAGTCCTGCACTCTACCCACTGCGCCACCATGGCTCCTAAACCATGGCTTAGTGGCAGTTGTGACATTATATACCACAGGTAGCCCTTGACTTAAGCCATTTGTTTTTTAAAATTACAACAGCACTCAAAAAAACAAACATTCCTCGTACTTATAACCGTCACAGCATCCCTGTGGCTAGGTTCTTGGCAACCGGCATATATTTTTGATGGTTGCAATATCCCAGAGTCATGTGATTGCTCTTTGTGTCCTTCCCAGCCAGCTCCGACAATTGGAAAAGTTGGATTTGCTTAATGACTGCACAATTCACCTGCATACCTGACCTGTATTTACTTATTTATCAAATTTAGATAGCCATCCATCTCACAAAATTCAGCCCTTCTTTCCATGTCCTATGTAGGAAACAAGAGAAACAGCGCATGGAGGAATACATGATCCAGCTGCAGGAGATCCAGGATCGTGTAGAGAGCCGTCCATATTTGTTTGAGAGAGTCATGCAGGTATGTGGTGCAGGACCAGACCTCGTGGGTGTGTCATGCCCCCATCAGAGTCTGAATCTGAGACCAAAGACGAACAGCTGACACAGAGTGGGAGCGTGGCTCCATTGGCTATGGAGGAAACTGGGGAAGGGCAAAGTCAGGCAGGAAGGGCAGAGCAGAAGAGAGGTAGAACAAGGGAGAGGGGGTTCAGATGAAGACCAAGGCCCACCCCCTCCTCATCCTAGGGCACGCAGGGAAGAACACAGAAGAGAGCAATGTGGGTTGCGTGGCTGACGAGGAAGGAAAGGGCCCCGATTCCCTTCACAAGGCACACCTGGGGATGGAGTTTAAAGGAGAGGCAGATGGGAGGGGCGTTTGTCGGGAACAAACGCTGAATTCATCTAGCGTTGAAAGTTGTGGCCTGCATTCCTGGCATTCCTCCTGACTGTTTGAATTAGTGCCGTGCTACTGTGTGCTTATCTTGTCTTGCTGGAATTAATCTTCACTTCTGGGACTCATTATCTTGTCCTGCTGGAGTGATTGATTTGCAGTCATTCTGCTTACAGCATTTGGACTGGAGTATCTGCAGCCAGAAGCTGCTGCAAGTTTGTGAGAGAGCTTTTCTCCAGGCCGGAGAGTAAACAGGACGTTGGAGGCAAAGTTGGTGCCAATAAAGGGACTCATACCGGTTCTCTGGCTGTGTTGCCTTCGTGCCAAACCCCGGGTCATCACAGGGTGCCAACTATGGTGTTATATACCCTCTTCAGCCCTACTTCTCTGGGCAAAACCTTGCCAGGGTGACAATCCAGTGAGGATCTGTACCAGTAGAAGAGGATTTTTGTATCTCAGGATTGAACGGTGGGGTCCTGAGTGTTCTCTGAGCTTGTTAGATTTCCTGCAGACGTTTCATTAACTGACTGGGTAATGCCATCAGTGTGAAGGAGAGTGGGGTTTTTACTTCCTGTTTATATACAATAGCTTGCATTGCCAGTGTTGTTTGGCACGTTTTTTTCTTCTACCTGTTTCCCCAAAAATAAGACCCTGTCTTATATTTTATGAACCCCTGAAATAAGCGCTTGGCCTTATTTTTGGGGAGGTCTTATTATTTTGGGGCGTATGGAACAAGATGGGGCTCCTCTTGCCATCTTACCTGATTTCCAGCTCTGTCTCCGTAACCCTAACCAGACTGGCTGTGCATGTGTTTAAATGTTTTCGGGGGAGCGCTTATTATCCGGGGAGGGTTTATTTTCGGGAAAACATGGTAGGTAGGTTATTCTAGGTAGAATAAAACAGCATTTCCACCAGAATTGACAGGGCAAGCCACCATATATAAATAGAGAGCAAATCCCAGTCCATTTTAGCACTGATGATATTACCTAGTTCGGTCATGAAACGTCTTCAAGTCAATCACCAAGCTCAGAGAGAATCCCTAGCTGGGTTCACACATCACACTCCGTTTTCAACGACGTCACTCACCTCCGGCAGCCACTGCAATGTTGCTGCAACGCCTTCCCCTTTGCAAGCCATTTTTCCAAGAGTGCTCCCTATGTGCCTCCAAGCTTGCAAAAGCGGCTTCCACAAGATCATCTAACCGTGCTATGAACGTGTGGAGTTCTGCTCGGTTTTTGGTAACGCTGCTTCAATGGCTACAACAAACATCCACCCAACCCTCTTTTTTTTTTTTTTTTCCTCCAGACAAATGCCCGCCAGGCAGTGGAACGCCGTTTCTCCAAAGTGTTGGCTGCCCTGGGCATCGATGAAGAGATGCTATGGAAGCATGCTGCTCGGCAGACTTTAGGGAAATATGGCATCAAAGACATGTAAGGCTGCTAGAATGGAGGGGCGGGGTACAGCCCTGCGAGGTAGTCCAGACCAGCTGAGGACCACTGGTGGTCCGCAAGAAAATTTTGGTGGTCCGTAGAAAAATTATTTGCATTTTTTATATTGCACTAAATCAGGGGTCCTCAAACTATGGCCCCTGGGCCAGATATATGCAATGAATGTTTGTGTTGCTGCAGAGAGTCTCCCCCTTCGGTGTCTTTTTGTGCCGGTTTGGGGGGGGGCAGAAATTCTGACTTGGGATCTGCTTCAGCCTCCTGGTGCAGGGCTTTGGGCGAAGGCTGGAGGGAAGAGCCGCTGGTGGCAAAGAGCCGGAGGGCCTCGTTCCAGTGGGACTGCCTCATGGCCTGGAACTGGCTAACCATCTCAGCCCGCTGAGCCTCCAGGTGCCGGTACCTGGCCTTGCACTCCCGCAGGTCTTCCCTCTGCTTGGAAAGCCTATGCTTCTAGTCCTCAGAGAGGTGCTTCTGCTGAGCCTCCTTCTTGGTCAGATCCAATTTGAACTGCTTAGCTGCAACAACTGCTTCCTATTGGGGCCCTAAGGAGCCCAGGTGGGCAGAGGAGGAGAGGTTGGAAGGGGAGGAGCGAGTAGAGGCCGGTGAGGTGCCCCTCCACGTGAGTGACATCGAGTTGGCCATGCCCACCCAGTCACATGACCACCTAGCCATGCCCACCCAGCCGGTCATTAGGCAGATCATATTAGCAGTCCGCGGGATTTAAAATTATGAATTTAGTGGTCCCTGAGATCCAAAAAGTTGGTGACCCCTGGTCCAGACAACAAAACCCAATCAGGAGATCTTGCTCTATCTTTATTGTAAGGTTTTAAGGAACAGGGTCTGGCCAGGCTGAAAGTATTTGTCCCCTCTTTTCTCTTTATTCTAAGGCAGGGGATCTCCAAACCTGGCAACTTTTCTCATGTTCTTGCTAGTATATATGTGCTTCAAAACACTCAATTTTTTTTTGAAAAAAGAAATGCAGGGATCCACAGGTTGTTGCCTGGAATCCTTTAAAACGCCGTTTCCCAACCTTTAACATTGCAAAAATAGGCGGACTTCATTTGTGTTTCCAGGTATCAGAGCACCGAGTCCTTAGAAGAGTTCCAAAGCTCGATCTGAGCGGAAGATAGAATGGATAGAGGAAGCCATTTGGATCACTAGTTCCTCTTGCATCCTGGACCTGTAATCCTAGACCATCTAAAAAATAAATCTAACGTTGAGAAGCAGAGGAGCCCAGCCTGCCTTTGTTCACTCGAGCGTATCCCTGCAACCTGGTAGGGAGCAGCATTGCTAAGCTTGCGGACAGAGCTGCCAGCAGCTGCCAGCAGCCTTCCCCATCCCCCCGGAGGCCAGAAGCGGCCCGTTTGCCAATTTCCGGAAGACTTCCAAGGGGGTGGGGAAGGCCGTTTTTGCCCTCCCCAGGCTCCTAGAAAGGCTCTGAAGCCTGGGGAGAGCAAAAAACAGGCCATCCGGTATCAAAGGAAGTCAGCAAATGGGCCGTTTCTGGCCTCCGAAGGGCCTCCGGGCGGGGGGAAAGGCCATTTTCACCCGGAGGCCCTTCTTGATTGTTCTCCCTGTCAGGAAATTTCTCCTTATTTCCAAGTTGAATCTCTCCTTGATCAGTTTCCATCCATTATTCTTCATCTGGCCTTCGGGTGCTTTGGAAAATAGCTTGACCCCCTCCAAAAACAAAACCAAGAAAGTCCAGTTGCCTTTTGGAAAAGCACCTTTAGGACACTGGAGGCATTTAAAAAGAGGCTGGCCAGTTGCTTATCTGGAATGGTAGAGGGTCTCCTTGAGCAGGGGGTTAGACTAGAAGACCTCCAAGCTCCCTTCCGAGACTGTTATTCTGACTGTATAAGATTCTGACAACCGTGATTGAGAATCTCCATAGATTTGCTGTCACTGACTTCCTGCAGCTAAGGAGCCCCCGTATTTTGGAGCCAGTGGACATATTCAGATGCTTAAAAAGGTCATGATGGACAACCAGGCAAAATTGATACCAAGCACGGTAGGCATGGTGACAAGGACCCACTTGACCAGGTTGCAAAAGGCTAAGGTTGTTTCCCACTGCCACCAGTTTTGGCCCTCAAGGATAAAACATAGAATTTGAGAGCTGGAAGGGATCTTGGAGGTCTTCTAGTCCAACCCCCTGCTCCAGCAGGAAACCCTATACCAGTGATGGTTAACCTTTTTGGTGCTGAGTGCCCAAAGTGCACGCGCAAAAGCACGCACGTGCACTCCCCACACATCCGTTTGCACTCCCCACACATGCGAGCCGCTACACATTCACCCTGGCCTGTTTTGGCTTCTAGGTTGGTGCAGGAGGCCTTCAAGGCCCAAAACGGGGTAAGGGGGGCATGTACACACCCCAAAATGCAATGTGAGCGCTCCTGCACTTGACCCCCGCACATGTCTCTCCCCCCCCCCCCCCCCCGTCCCGCACATGCACGACAGACCCAAAGACCAACTGGCCGGTGGAGGCACGCACGCATGCACGATGGAGCTGGGCTGGGGCGATGGCTGATGTTGTGACCCCGGCCCCGGAGGCTGATTTATCTTCGCATGCTGAGTCGGAGGATGATATGGAGGAGGAGGAAGCTGTCACGAGCTATGCGCCGGAGGGGCCGTCTTCACTGGTGAGTCAGCAAGAACTGACAGTTGATGACGTGCCTCTGAACCCCAGCCAAATTGAGGAGGAAACAGAGGCCGGTAACGAGGAGGGGGAGCCCTTATTTGGATGCAAGAGAGAGACGTAGGAGACGTCGTAGAGAACAGCCATTGCCACGTCCCAAGAGGTGTGATCAGGAGATGTAGGGCCACACCCTACAAAGTATAAAAGGTGTGTAACTAGGCTGGAAAGGCGTGGTGAACAATTTGTTGGCGTTTTAGATGTAGTGGATTTACAACTGTTAGTCTGGAGTTTTTTGACAAGAGTCTGCATTCCTGCATTAGCCTGCTGGCCGTCTGCCAAGACCTTTGGAACATTGCCCGGTAACTATTGGACTGATAAACGCTTTGGAAGAGAACTATTTATTAAAGGGCCAGCTTCAGTTTATCTAGTCTGCGTTTGTTACTGCCGGGCTATTTGAGCCTCTGCAAGGCCACTCGTGAGAGGGGACAGAACAGCTGGCATGCCCACAGAAAGGGCTCTACGGGCCATCTGTGGCACACATGCATAAGTTCACTATCACGGGTGTCGGGTCTGCTTGGGCGGGGGGGGGTTGGACTAGATGACCTACAAGGTCCCCTCCAACTCTGTTCATCTGTTCCTTGCAAACGTTTTGTTTCAGTTAGAACTGAAATCGTTTGCTGATGTTAGAACTGAAGAAGCTTCTTGGATGACAAGCGAAATGTTTGCCGAGGTGGGGGAAAAAAAACCCCAACTGTGTTTTGGGAAAAGCACCTTTGAGTCGATGGCTGCCACTTTCTTCTTGATCTCCTATTATGACGTCACAAAAGAATGCCTTGGTCTTCTGGATGGAACCCCCGGCGTCTCTTCTCTTCCGAGGGAGCCCCCCCCCATCCCTCCCCACTTGCAACCAAGCGGAAGGAAGGATTTGCCGAAAGGTCTGCATATCAGAGAGGTTTAAAAAGTAGCAAACGGCACCATGGATTACCTTATGGTGCCAACCTCGGCTTCCCCGATAGAGAAACAGGACCAGGACGTAATAACTCAAGGAAAGAAAGAGCCTGCAACGACTCCAGGCCCTGGCACCCCGGTGGACATCAAGCCGGAGCCCTTCGTCCTCTTGCCAGCTGAACCAACCAGGACTAAACTCTCCCAGAAATCGAGCAAGATCCACAAAAGCCGGCGAGGGAGCAAAACTATTCAACACACCCCAAAAATTAAACGTGAGTCGGCCCTGGGGTGCAGAAGGGAGACAGAGATGGATTGGGGAGGGGGTGGATGGGTAAGGAAGCCATCTTAGGAAACAATCCTTCCCTTGGGGTGGTGTTGGTGGGGAAATAAGAGCTGATTAAGTCTTTCTGAGAGTAAGAGGAGAGAGGGAGGATTTCCTTGGACAACAGTGGAGGAATCTGCCTACAAAAGTCGTGGAGATCTCTGAGGGCTTTTGAGAAGTTTTTTTGGGAGCTTCATCCCTGGAAGCTTTCCAGAAGAGGCTGGACTGCCATCTGTCAGAAATGGTGTCACGTCTCCTGCTTCGGCAGGGGGTTGGACTAGATGACCTACAAGGTCCCTTCCGACTCTGTTATTCTGTATCCGTCTCTGCAAACCAGGCAGCAGCTGTGAGAAGGATCTTGGAGTCTTAGTGGACAGCCAATTAAATATGAGTTAACAGGGTGCGGCGGCAGCCAAAAAAGCCAATGCAATCCTAAATTGCATTAACAGAGAGATGCAATAAAGATCAAGGGAGGTACTAACACCACTCTATAAAGCCTTAGTAAGGCCACACCTAGAGTACTGCACCAAGTTTTGGTCACCACACTATAAAAAAAGATGTTGAGACTCTAGAAAGAGTGCAGAGAAGAGCAACCAGGAGGATTAAGGGACTGGAGGCTAAAACATACGATGAACGGTTGCAGGAACTGGGTATGTCTAGTCTAGTGAAGAGAAGGACCAGGGGAGACAGGAGAGCATCTTCCAATATCTGAGGGGCTGCCACAGAGAGGAGGAAGGGAGTCAAGCTATTTTCCAAGGTACCTGAAGGCCAGAGAAGGAATAATTGGATGGAAACTGATCAAGGAGAGATTCAACCTGGAAATAAGGAGGAATTTCCTGACAGTGAGAACAATCAACCCATGGAACAGAAGTTGCCTTCGGAAGTTGTGGGAGCTTTATCACTGGAAGCTTTGAAGAAGAGACTGGACTGCCATCTGTCATAAATGGTGTCGGGTCTCCTGCTTCGGCGGGGGATTGGACTAGATGACCTTACAAGGTCCCTTTCCAACTCCAATTCCAACTGTTAATTTTATATAAGAAGATGGATCTTTCCTGATGAGGATCCATGTCTTTTTTGCACATTGCAGAAGATTCGATGTGATCATTTGGGGTTCAGTGAAGTCAGTAACCCGGTTCTTAAGTGAATCTGGCTTCCTCATTTGACTTTGCTTGTCAGAAGTTTACAAGAGGGGATCACATGACCCCGGGACACTGGAACCGTCGTAAATATGAGCCAATTGCCAAGCATCTGGATTTTGATCATGTGACCAAGTCATCGTCTTAGTTGAAAAAGTTCTTTGCACTTTTTCCAAAGTCTCAACATCTTTTTTTTAATGTGGGGACCAAAACTGGATGCAGCATTCCAGGTGTGGCCCTTACTAAGGTTTTATAAAGCGGTTACTAATACTTCACCTGATTTTGATTCTATGCCTCTGTATATAAAACCAAGGATTGTATTAGTTTTTTTGGCTGCTGCCCCACACAGCTGGCTTATTTTTGAGTGATCGTCCACTAGGACTCCAAGGTCCCTCCCACAGTTACGTGATGAAAACGTGGTCAACAAAAATAAAAGGAACTGTATTTTTCGGACTATAAGACGCTCCGGACTATGAGATGCTCCGGACTATAAGACACACCTACCTTCTTTCGGGAGGAAAACAAGAAAAAAAAAATCTGCCTCTGCCTCCCAGCAATTTGCCTCGTTGCAGCAAACAGCAAACAGCCTACTTTAGTTTCATTTCCATTTTCAGCACAGCCTGATCAGCACAAGAAAAAAAAATCTGCCTTCTTGCAGCAAACAGCGGAGGCCCGCGCGGTAATAGGCAATGGCAATCCCTGCAGCCTGAAACAGCTGAGGGTCGGGAGGCCGATCCAACCGACAATCAGCTGCTTGTGCTAATCAGGCTGTGCTGAAGCTGAAACGGGCTGTTAGCTGCTTGCTGTAAGAAGGTAAATTGCTGGGAGGCAGAGACCAAAGGGTGGGGGCCAGCAGGTGGGCGTGGCTACATTCGGTGTATAAGACACCCAAATTTTCACCCTCTTTTGGTGGGGGGGAAGTGCGTCTTATACTCCGAAAAATACAGTAAGTGAATTCCACAGCGAGTCGTCTCGCAGCGAGTCGGTTGTGGCAAATTGGTTGCAGGGAGTTGTCCCGTTCCATCTGACTTAGCTCCCTTTCTTCTCCCCTAGAGATGGGAAAGTCTTCCCATCATCATCATCACCACCACCATCACCACCACTACCGGCGCATAACGCTCAAAGAAATCCTGACTCACTCCTGGCAAAAGATCTACCCGTGCCTTGTTTATCTGCGGAAGACCATCTTCGAACTGACCCAGTCCTTCTTGTTTGACTTCTTAATCTGTAGTGTGGTGGCCATCAACACAACCTTGCTGGTGATACAGACGTTCGCCGTGGTCGAGATTCGGGGAGGTAAGTCCGTACGTCGTCTCGAGGTCTACAAGAGCTCCCAAGAAGTTTTGTTGAGGCTTTCGCCCAACAGAGGAGAACACTGAGCTGATTTCTCCAGATGCTTTATGAGGAACAAGGGGTTGTGACCTAGGCTTCCTGAGAAAGCATAAATCACAATTTTAGCCCCAAAAAACCTCTTATTGAGACGGCTGTGAATGATGGTCATTCACAGCCCGTAATGATTCACAAACAGTCTGTGCAGATTCCGACAGAGGTCTGCTCGTGTTGACACAGTCGTTCAGGGTAATGTGGATAAGCACCCACCTTCATCTCCCTTGAAACGCTGCCGGAGACCTAATTGCCAATTAGTTTTGCAAGGCCAAACGGAGCACAGAGTCAAACAGGCCTTCTCAGAGTTTGAACCGACTATATGCACTAATTGCTTCCTGCAAAGGCTCACGCCCGTTTGCTCCTCTTTTATGTCTTAAAAGACTTAATTGGCAATTAGCTTTGCGAGGCCACACGGAGCACAGAGTCAAAACGGAGCTTCAAAATTTAAACCGACCAGAACAAACAAAGATGCTTCCTGCAAAGGCTCACGTGCCTTTGCTCCTCCTTTATGTCTTATGGGAGGGGCCAATCATCTCCAAGCCTTACTCCTGAGTCGCCCCTTTTTTTTCTTAATTGTTCTTGCCTTCTGGCAGCTCTGCGCATGAGCGCACTGGGAACAGGCTCATACTGTTCTTCTGCCTCACTGATGTCAGATTCCAGAGGTTCCGGAGGCTGCACTTAACTACCAGATGGCCCTGGCCCCTTCTCTGCCTCCGACGCAGAGCCCTCGTCCAGGCCTTCCCCAGACTCCAGGACTGGCCCATGTTCCTCCCCAACCTCCTCACTGTCCGACTCTACTGCCACCTCCGCAGGCCGGCGGCAGAACCACAACACAAGGATGGGATCCTACCAGGAAATTTCAAGTCTGGAGGTTAGCGAGTAAATACAGGTAGTTCTATGAACTCACAACCACAATTGGAGCCCAAATTTTCTCTTGCTAAGCGAGACGGTTGTTAAGTGAATTTTGCCCCGTGAATCACTGCAGTTGTTAAGTTAATAACATGGTTATTACCATGTTAAAGGGGAATACCATGCAAAAGGGGAATCACATGACCCCGGGACACTACCACCGTCATAAATACGAGTCAACTGCCAAGCGTCTGAATTTTGATCGCGTGACCACGGGGATGCTTCAACGGTCATACATGTTGTCACTTTGAACAGTCACTAAACGAACCATTGTAAGTCGAGGACTACCTGTATTCCATTATAGAAGGTGATGTCAGGGTTCCAAGTAATACACCCATAGCAATCAAAACTCCGAGGCAGGTAGATTCCTCAAAGAATAGTTTTATTGGATATATCATATTGGCACAGTTCTGGTGAAAACCAACTCTGAAGATTCCCACAGTTTTCACCTAATTAACAATAAGAGTTTCCCCTCTTTCCCAAACAATCAGTCACATGATCCAATCAAGGTCATGTTTGGTTGCCTAGTAACTTCACTCCTCCTTTCTCTCTCTGGTCACCTGTGGGAATGACCTTGGTTCCCAGGAGAAAGTCTTTTGTTTTGACTATAGAACCCCAGCTATCTCTATTCCCCCCCTTCCTAAACCTCAGCTCCAGTGTGGCAACATTGAAGCTTCAAAATGGGCTCTGGTCAGGTCAACTTCAGGGTTGACAGGTGATTTCTCTCGTCATCTTGCTTTTGACGGTCTTTCTCTCATCCTCTCCTTAGAATGGCTCTTCTCGGCCCTGGATCCGATTTTCCTTTGTGTCTACGTGGTGGAGGCCATTCTCAAATTTATTGCATTAGACTGTAACTATTTCCGTGACCCCTGGAATGACATTGGTGAGTCTTTTGCCATAGGGACAAGCTTACAATGGGTACAAACTTAGAACAGGCAATGGGAGGAAGCACATAGGGAATTCCATGCGTTGGACTTTAGTATTGAAACCAGGCGGTGATTTCAGTATGGTTTGTGGCCCTATTGCTCTCTTTAATTTTTTATTTTTTTATTTTTTTGGAAACCTCCAACCAAATTGCTGAGAGCCAGTTTGATGTAATGGTTAAGGTGCTGTCCTAGAAACCAGGAGACTGGGAGTTCTAGTCCGACATTAGGCATGAAAGCCCACTGGGTGATTTTGGGCCAATCACCAGGAGATGGTGAGTTCTAGTCCCGCCTTAGGCATGAAAGCCCACTGGGTGAGTTTGGGCCAATCACCAGGAGAGGGTGAGTTCTAGTCCCACTTTAGGCATGAAAGCCAGCTGGGTGACTTTGGGCCAATCACCAGGAGATGGTGAGTTCTAGTTCCACTTTAGGCATGAAAGCCAGCTGGGTGACTTTGGGCCAATCACCAGGAGATGGTGATTGTTAGCTCTAGTCCTACTTTAGACATGAAAGCCAACTGGGTGATTTTGGGCCAATCACCAGGAGAGGGTGAGTTCTAGTCCTACTTTAGGCATGAAAGCCAACTGGATGATTTTGGGCCAATCACCAGGAGACTGGGAGTTCTAGTCCTGCCTTAGGCATGAAAGCCTGCTGGGTGACTTTGGGCCAATCTCCAGGAAACGGTGGATTTATCTATCTTGTGGCTTTTCTATTTTTGTTTTTCCTCCTTTCTCTTCCCTGACCAGATTTCTTCATCATGTTCATGGCGGTCTTGGAATTCATCCTCGCCCTGTACTTCACCGCTGGGCAGGGAAACCGAGGCAACACACTTACCCTCTTTCGAGTCCTCAAAATCGTCAAGGGGATTCGCGCCATCCGAGCCATCCGCTTCCTCCTCACTCTCCGGTCAGCAACGAAATCCACCCATTGATCAATAGTCGGATTGCTAATAATTGAAGGATGCCTTTTCCCCTGTTCTCCCCATTGAGAGACAATAGCGCAGTCCCCGTCTAATAAACCAGGACCGGCCAATCAACAGGGACACCAAATTCAGTAACTGGAAGGTTGAGTCCCTTTTAGTTACGGGAGCCGGTTTGGTATAATGGTGGTGGCTACAGGCTAGAAACTGGGAGACGGTGAATTCTAGTCCTGCCTTAGGCATGAAAGCTGACTGGGTAATTTTGGGCCAATGACTAAGAGATGATGAGTTCTAGTCCCGCCTCAAGCATGAATGGCAGCTGGGTGACTGGGCTGGGTGACTTTCAGTTGTGGAGAAAAGAGGAGGAGGAAGGAATATTAAATATATTAGCTGCCTTTTGAGTTATTTACAGAAATTTTAAAGGCGAGAGAGGAAGGGAAGAGGGAAAGGAAGGGAGGGAGGAGGCAGGGAAGAGGGAAGGATAGGGAAGGAAGGAAGGAGGGGGGAGGGAGGGAGGGAAAAAGGAAAGGAAGGCAGGGAAGAGAGAAGGAAATGAAGGAAGGAGGGTGGAAGGGAGGGAAAGGGAGGGAGGGACGGAGGAGGCAGGGAAGGGAAGGAAGGAAGGAAGAGTGGGTGGGAGGGAGGGAAGAGGGAAAATGAGGGAGGGAAGGAAGATGGAAGAGGGAGGAGAGGGAAGGAGAAAGAAAGGAAGGAAGGAAAGGGAGTTTGAAGGACAGAAGGTAGGGAGGAGGAGGAAGGAAGGATTAAGAGATAGCAATAGCACTTAGATTTCACAGTGTTTTACAGCCCTCTCTAAGCGGTTTACAGAGTCAGCCTCTTGCCCCCAACAATCTGCGTCCTCATTTTACCAACCTCCGAAGGACAGAAGGTTGAGTCAACCTTGAGCTGGTCAGAATCAAACTCCTGACTGTGGGCACAATTACCGGACAATACTGCATTCTAACCACAGGGAGGGAGGGAGGGAGGGAGGGAGGGAGGAAGGAAGGAAGGAAGGAAGGAAGGAAGGAAGGAAGGAAGGAAGGAAGGGACTCTCTCAGAGGAAAGGACACCATAATAATTCCTCTTCTCCTTTTTTTTTTTTTTTGCTGGTTTTCTTCTAGGGTGACAGAGAATCTGCAAGAAATCACAGGCACTTTTATACTTTCCTTCCAGTCCATCGGAGCTATTATTCTTCTCATGTTCTCTTTCTTATGTATCCTCCCAGCAAGAAACATGGGGGTGGGGGGGTGGGATGGGGGGGGCAGCAGTAGCAGATGGTCTGTAGCTATATAACCAATCAAAAGCATTTTTTCTTTTATTCTCTCTGCTTATACCACTTTTTTTTTTTCGTTCAAATTTGACAACTTTCAGATGTGAGAACTTCAACTCCCAGAATTCTCCAGAGTCTGCTTGCTGGGGAATTCTGGGAGTTGAAGTCCATACATCGTAAAAGTTGTCAAGTATGAAAAACCATTTCACTCCCCAAGGAGTTTAAATAACATGGCGCTCCCAGCCTCACTAACACTGGCACGGCAAGCTATTGTATATATAAACAGGACGCAAACCCTACACTCACTGATGATGTTACCTAGCTGGTTCATGAAGCATTTGGCTCCTTTGGCTCCCATCTCCGCCTAGAGGCAGGTTTTAGGAGTTAGAATCAATTTCTGACTCTGTCCTAGTCAGTTTCACAGAAAATTCCCACTTTCTTTTCCCGGCTTGAATCTACAGTCTCCACTTCCTCCTAGTTCAGTGATGGCTAACCCTTTTCTCTTCATGTGCCAAAAGTGCATGCACGCGACAGCGCACATGTGTGCCGGCACCCATAATGCACCCATAATCCCCCCTCGCTCCACGCCCCCGTGATGTCCTCGTGACCTCTGCCCCCACGCATGTACACACAACCCCCCCATGCGTGCATGGCCGACCTCGTGCATGCGTTTCCTGCATGCACCCCACCCCCCACGCATCCCGAAAATCAGCTGGCCGGTGGGAGCAGGGGTGAAATGCTCCCGGTTCGGACCGGATCGCCCAGTTCGGACCGGATCGCCCAATCCGGTAGCGAGGAAGGTGGGTAGTTCGGAGAACCGGTAGCAAAAATCCCTGCCCCCCCCCATGCCCAGCTGAGCCGCACAATCATCAGAGGTTTTTTTTTTTTACTTTTAAAAGTATTTTTTCTACAACCTCTTCAGCCGAAAAAATGCTTTTAAAAGTAAAAAAAAAAAAGCCTCTGATGATCGGGCAGCTCAGCTGGGATCGTCAGAGGCTTTTAAAAGAAAAAAAGTCTCTGCCGATCAGGCAATTCAGCTGGGATCGTCAGAGCCTTTTGAAAGCATTTTTTTACAACCTCTTCACCGAAGAGGCTGTAGAAAAAATGGTTTTAAAAGTAAAAAAAAAAAAAAAATTGGCCATGCCCTCCCAGTCACATTACCCCCCCACACCAAGCCACGCCCACAGAACCGGTAGTAACAAATTTTAGATTTCGCCACTGGGCGGGAGGCATGCGTGCAGGTGTGGTAGAGCTGGGCAATGGCTCGTGTGCCCGCAGAGAGGGCTCTTCATGCCAGCTGTGGCACGCATGCCATAGGTTCGCCATCACGACCCTAGATGGGTAACCCAGATTTAAAACAGGCTGAAGCCCAGGTTCGAAACTCGCTCATCTCCTCCACCCTTCTAAGTCCCCAAGAACTGCTGTTTCTTCCTTGACTCTCGTGTCTTCCGACCTCCAGTTATGTCTTCCGTGGTGCTGTGTGACATGTTCCACGAAGCGGATCAGAAACATTTTGGGGACCTTTTCAAAACCATCTTCACCCTTTTCCAGCTTTTCACTTTGGACGACTGGTCGATCATTTATCTCACGTGCCACGCTGCAGGTAGAGAGAAAAGTCAGGATCCATTAAATCCCCAGGGTGGGGATTCCATCAGTTTGTGAATTAAATCTCCCGTCAAAGGGCTGTCTTGCTTCCCCAAGTCTACTATCATTGGCTCCATCTCCTGTCTTTACAGTAGTCCTCGACTTATGACCACAATGAAAGCAATAGAAAGCCGAAACTTTCTATTGCTAAATGAAACATTCGTTAAGTGAGTTTTACCACGTTTTGCAACCTTTCTTGGCACAGTTGTTAAGTTGAATCATTGCAGTTCTAAGTAACATGGTTGATAAGTGAATCTGGCATTTCCCCCCTTGACTTTGCTTGTTGGAAGGTCGTAAATGGGGATCATGAGTGTCCCCCAGGACACTCCAACCGTCATAAATATCAGCCAGTTGCCAAGCGTCAGAATTTTGATCCCGTGCCCATGGGGATGCAGCAAGGGTCGTAAGTGTGAAAAATGGTCATAAGTCACTTTTTTTCAGTGCTGTTGAAACTTTGGTCACTAAATGAACTGTCGTAAGTCGACAACTAGCTGTACTGTGTTTTTATTCTTTGCAAATTGCCTAGAGCTGCTGAGGAGTAGTCAGCCATATAACTTTCATAGATAGATAGATAGATAGATAGATAGATAGATAGATAGATAGATAATAGATAGACAGATACACACACATACATAGAGATAGACGATAGGAGTAGATAATAGAGATAGATATTAGAGATGGACATGATAGAGATGAATAGAGATAGATAGATAGATAGATAGATAGATAGATAGATAGATAGATAGATATAGATAGACAGACAGACAGACAGACACAGACATAGATGATAGAGATAATATAATATAAGATAGATGATAGACATGGATGGATGATAGAGATAGAAGATACTGTAGATGATAGACAAACATGGATGGATGGATGATAGATGATATAGATAGATACATAAGATAGATGATTAACAGATATGGATGGATGGATGATAGAGAATATAGATAGATACTGAAAATTAGACCCTGTCTTATATTTTTTTGAACCCCAAAATAAGCCTTATTTTCAGGGAGGTCTTATTATCTGTCTCCCTAATCCTAACCAGATGAAATGGCAGAGACCGGCTGTGCATGCAGTTAAATATTTTGGGGTTGGCTTATTTTTTTGGGGGGGGGGGGCTTATTTTGTGCTCAAAAGCCCAATTGGGCTTATTATCAGGGGATGTCTTATTTTCAGGGAAACAGGGTATATAAGATAGATGATAGACATAGATAGATGATAGATGAGATAGATAGGTAGGTAGGTAGGTAGACAGACAGACAGACAGACATGAGGGATGATAGATGATATAGATATGTAAGATAGATGATAGACATTCATAAGATAGATGGATGGATGATAGATGATAGATAGAGATGGATATATAAGAGAGATGAGAGAGAGAGATAATGGGGGCAATAACTGCAGTCCTGCAGATGATCTGTTATCTGGAATCTCCCTCTATACCATGTTCCCTTTCTTCCTTCTAGGTGCTTGGTACATAATTATTTTTCTCATCATCTATATCCTTTTGGAGTATTTTTTGCTTCTCAAGTAAGTATGGCCCAGGGAGACCCATCCAGGTGTTCAGAGGGAATACAGGTGGGGTGTTGAGGAATTAAAAAAAAAGAAACTGTCACCGGTCTCTGAAACAGCTCCCAAATTCAGAGTATTTTCACCCAGCCTTGATTCCTTTGCACAGCTGAATAGAAAAGCAGAAAAAAGAAGGATAAGGGCGGGAGAGATTTCAGAAGGTTATTTGGGTGGGAGTGGGGGTTAGTTAAAACTACAGGTAGTCCTTGACTTACAACCATTTGCTTAGTGACCCTTCAAAGTTGCAACAGCACTGAAAACTTACAACCAATTTTCGTAAGTGACTTACGATCAATTTTCACACTTATAACCGCTGTAGCAGTCCCATGGTCATGTGATCAAAATTCAGACGCTTGGCAACTGACTCATATTTATGACGGTTGCAGTGTCCTGGGGGGGGTCATGCAACCCCCTTTTGCGACCTTCTGACAAGCAAAGTCAGTGGGGGAAGCCGGATTCACTTAACAACCTTGTTACTAACTAAACAACTTGCAGTCACCTTTTGTTAGCATCCCCACAGTCAAGTGAACCAAATGCAGGTGCTTGGCAACTGACTCAGACTTATGACAGTTGCTGTGTCCGGAGATCATGTGATCTCTTTTTGCCACCTTCTGACAAGCCAAGTCAACCGGGAAGCTGGATTCACTTAACAACCGTGTGACTTGCGTAACAACGGCAGTGGTTCACTTCACAACTGTGGCAAGGAAGGCCGTAAAATGGGCCAAAACTCGTTTCACAAATGTCTCGCTTAGCAATAGGAATTTTGGGCTCAATTGTGATCGTACGTTGAGGACTACCTGTATATAGAAGTAGCTATTTTTCCCTTTTTTTAGGAAACAGAAATATAATTCTATTGATTTATGTCTTTTAACATGGGGTCAATTTACCAGACGCTTTTGGGGTCAGTATTATGCAGGGGTGGGCCACAGGGGGTTCGCAGGGGTTCGGGAGAACCTGCAGCTAAGATTCTGTGCAGTTCAGAGAAGCCCCAAATCCCACTCCTGGCTGGCCCCGCCCGGCGCCCCTCCCAGGAGTCCCCATGTGGCCCATTTTGGATGCAGGTAAATGTAGGGCACTCACAGAGGCTCGGGGAGGGTGAAAAACGGGCCTGCTGGAAGTTTGGGAAAGCCGGAAATGGGCCCATTTCTGGCCTCCAGAGGGCCTCCAGAGCCTGGGGAGGTCGTTTTCACCCTCTCGGAGGCTCAAGAAAAGCCTCCGGAGCCCAGGGAGGGCAAAAACACTCCCAACCGTGGTGCAGGAGGCTGACGGCCACACCCACCATGTCCACGCCCACCCAGCAACCAGGCAGAGAACCCCTTGCTAAAATTTTTGAAGCCCACCCCTGGTATTATGGCACGCCCCCAAATCTCTCTTGCAGCCTGGTGATTGCAGTTCTGGTGGACAATTTCCAGATGTCCCTCCTCAAACGCCAAGAGAAGAAGAAACTGAAGGTCAGTTCTGGAATTTTTGTGGTGGGGAGAGGGGAGGGGATGGGGGTGAGGAGGTGAATAATTGCCAATTTTGGAAGAAGGTGTATAAACCCAAAAGAAAACATGGTTCTATATTTAAAACAATGAGATGTGTGGATCTATTGGGGATGATGGTATCTGTAGTCTATTGGCCATGCTGCTGAAGAATATTGAGGCAGTCTAATCCTAAAACCATACAGTATATCATGAATTTATTTTTTTTTTCAATGCTTTAGTATAGAATAATATATCAAAGTAGTAGAAAATCAGAATTCAGCTTTTTCCTTTTCTTTGATTTCTATACTCCTTTCTTTCTTTCTTTTTTCTCTTTCTTTCCTTTCCTTTTTTCTTTCTTCCTTTTTCTTTTGTTCATCTTTCTTTCCTTTACCTTTTTTATTTTTTCATTTCTTTATTTTTCTTCCTTTCTCTTTCTTTCTTTCCTTCCTTCCTTCACCTCTTTCTTTCTTTCCTTTATATTTTTCTTTCTTCCTTTTTCTTTCTTTCATTACCTTTTTCTTTCTTTCTTTCTTTCTTTCTTTCTTTTCCTTTTTCTTTCTTTCTCATTCTTTCTTTTTCTTTCTTTCCTTCCTTCCTTCCTTTACCTTTTTCTTTCTTCCTCTTTGTTTCTTTCTTTCATTTCTTCTTTTACATTTCTTTTTCTTTCTTTCATCTTTATTTTCTTTCTTCATTGTAAATATCAGCTCTGTTAGTTTTTATTCTCTACTCAAAATTCTAATAAAGTCTATTAAAACCCGAAGATTAAGGCAGCCTAGTCTCCATGCTAGTTGGGAGGAGGGTGGAAATTATTCTTGATCAACCAGCTGGACTCATTTGGGTTGAGCTCAGCTCTAATCCAAGCTGCGAGGTTGTCTTTTCAGAGTAGACCAGAAGCAAGAATCTTCCTCGTCCTCTCCTGCCATTGCTGACTTACTCTCTTCACTCTTGAATTAGCAAAAAATTATCCATCTGAAGGATAGCATCACAGAAGATAATCCAGTCAAACATGCAGGTGATGGTCAGATTGGGTTGGGTGCGATGGAGGGGGTTCAAACTTAAACAAACCATGAGGCTTTGACAGAACTCAGGCCTGGCCAATTGCTTGTCCTACATGGGCAGGTAAAGGCCGGTTCCATGCAGCAGTGAAAGTTGTGACTGGGGAATTCTGGGAGTTGAAGAGGCCAGAGTGGAGAAACCCTGCCTTACAATATAGGTATTTCATGATTTACGGCCATATAAGTAATGCTTGAACACGGTCTGCCGGATTGTCTGAGACACTACAAATCCTCATCACAACCTGTTTTCCTTCTTACCTTCTGGGAGGGGGCTTCCATATTATATATATTATATACCGTGTTTCCCCAAAAATAAGACCCTGTCTTAAATTTTTTTGAACCCCGAAATAAGCGCTTGGCCTTATTGTTAGGAGGTCTTATTATTTTAGGGCGCATGGAGCAAGACGGGGCTCCTCTTGCCATCTTACCTGATTTCCAGCTCTGTCTCCCTAACCCTAACCAGAGGAAATGGTGGGGACCAGCTGTAGATGCGTTTAAATATTTTCGGGGAGGGTTTATTTTCAGGGGAGGGCTTATTATCCAGGAAGGTCTTATTTTTGGGGAAACACGGTGTGTATGTATGTGTGTATGTATGTGTATAAGACATCCCCAAAATAAGACATCCCCTGATAATAAGCCCAATCGGGCTTTTGAGCGCATGGCAATAAGGCCAAGCACTTATTTCAGGGTTCAAAAAAATATACGACAGGGTCTTATTTTCGGGAAAACACGGTATACACACACACACACATAAAATATGTGTCTCTGTGTGTGTGTGTGTGTGTGTAGCATGTGTATATGTGTGTTATGTAAGTGTATGGGTAGATACATACCATGATATATACCATGTGTCCACAAAAAAAGGAGCTCTGGTGGCTCAGCAGACTAATTAACATCCATTTATATCTGCTGCCTGCAATTATTGCAAGTTCAAATCCCAACCAGGCTCAAGGTTGACTCAGCCTTCCATCCTTTCTAAGGTAGGTAAAATGAGGACCCAGATTATGGGGGCAATAAGCTGACTTTGTATAAATATACAAAAGTATGAAGGCTATTGCTTAACGCACTGTAAGCCGCCCTGAGTCTCCGGAGAAGGGCGGCATATAAATCAAATTTAAAAAAAAAAAAAAAGACCCAAGCAGAAAATAAGCCCTAGGATGATTTTTCAGGATGCTTGTAATATAAGCCCTATCCCCAAAATAAGCCCCAGTTAAGATCGTCAGTCAAACAGACGGATTTTAGTACTTTATTTTCCCGAAAATAAGGCTTAACTGGAAAATAAACCCCAATGCATCTTTTGGAGCAAAAATTAATATAACATCTCATTTAATTTTGGGGGAAACACGGACGCTTTCTTTCGAGAGCAGGCAACCGAATTTCATTTTTAATGTTTTTAATTTTTTGCCCACAGCAAAAAAACGACAATAAAGGTTATCTTAATTATCTGACAATTAAGCCTCCAACATTTCTAAACAAAGGAAGTTGTTAAGTGTCCCGTTTTACGAAACCTTGCCACCCTTGTTAAGTTAATCACTGGGATCACTCAGCTGGGATCATCAGAGGCTTTTAAAACCATTTTTTTTACAACCTCTTCGTCCGAAGAGGTTGTAGAAAAAATTGTTTTAAAAGTTTTTTTTTTTAAAAAAAGTTGGCTACGCCCACTCAGTCACATTACCCTCCCACCAAGCCACGCCCACAGAACCGGTAGTAACAAATTTTACATTTCACCACTGGCTTTGATGATCTCCCTTGGCTTTCCCAGGCGGTTTGTCACCTCCTCCTTTCTGATTTTGTCAACCCAACTTATACTTAACGGCCCCCTGTCAATCCACATTTCAAATGCTTCTAGTTTCTTCAAGTGGCTTTTCTATCCGAGATCAACTCTCCACTCCGTAGAGCAGGATAGAAAAGATGTAAGATCTGACAAGACTGATTTGCAGTCTTAGGCTCATGTCGTGACTGCAGAAGGCCTTTTTCGTTTTGATGTTGTGTAGAGTTTATTTATTATTTATTTATTTATTTATTTATTTATTCAATTTGTATGCCGCCCCTCTCCGAAGACTCAGGTTTCTAAATGAATGGTTGTAAGTCGAGGACTCTGTGTAAAGACAGGACCAGTACACCTGGTTGGGCTAGTCCCTGATAGTTTAACGCAAAGGGCGAGTTGGGGGTCAAGATAAATCTGTGTATGGAACTCCTTGCTTAACCTGGACCCCTTTTCTTCTCTTTCTTTGATACAGAGAAAACCAAGTTGAAAGAACAGGAAGAAGAAAGCCTCTTTAGGAAGACGGTGATGGAAAAATATGCTAGCCTTGAGCTGACGGACAAGTGAGAATTAAAATCAGATGACAGAATAGCAGAATAACAAAGAGTTGGAAGGAACCTTGGAGGTTTTCTAGAGGGCGAAAATAGCCATCCCTACCCCCACCCCCCGGAGGCTGGAAGTGGCCCGTTTGCCGACTTCCGGTGGGTCCGTAAGACCGTTTTTCGCTCTTCCCAGGCTCCAGAGCCTTTCTAGGAGACTGGGGAAGGCGAAAAGGGTGTTCCCTACCCCCCGGAGGCCTTCGGGAGGCTGGAAATGGCCTGTTTGCCGACTTCCAATGGGTCCGGAAGGCCCGACAATCAGCTGGTGGAGCTGAGCTCGCATGCCCACTGATACGGCTCTGCGTGCCACCTATCATAGATTCGCCATCACGGCCTTATACCGTTCCAGACAAATGGTTATCCAATTTCTTCTTGAAAACCTCCAGTGATGGAGCATCCACAACTTCTTGAGGCAACTCATGATTAACAGTTAACATGATTAACTGTTCTTGCTATCAGGAAATTTCTTCTTAATCCTAGGTTGGCTCTCTCTTTGATAAGTTTCCATCCATTACTTCTTGTCCTGCCTTCTGGTCAGTGGTGAAATCCAACTTTTTTTTTTTTACTACTGGTTCTGTGGGCGTGGCTTGGTGGGCGTGGCAGAGGAAAGCTACTGCAAAATCTCCATTCCCACCCCACTCCAGGGGAAGGATACTGCAAAATCCCCATTCCCCCCCACTCTGGGCCCAGCCAGAGGTGGCATTTGCCGGTTCTCCGAACTACTCAAAATTTCCGCTACCGGTTCTCCAGAACCTGTCAGAAATTGTGCTGGATTTCACCCTTGCTTCTGGTGCTTTGGAGAATAGGTTGACCCCCTCTTCTCTGTGACAGCCCCTCAACTATTGGAACCCTGCTATCATGTCCTCCCTAGTCCTTCTCTTTGTTAGACTAGACACAGAGTTAGAACACGGAACATAGAACAATAAGGACAGAAGGGACCTTGGAAGTCTTCTAGTCCAGCCCCCTGCTCATAACAAGAGATCTAGTCCCCTCAAGCTAATAGATAAGTAAGTAAACATTTTTTTTAAAAAAATTTTTTTTGCCTCTTTCAGAGAATGGCAGCTTCTGTACAATTACTTCCAGATAATGACAGCTATTGAGAACAGTCAACAGCAGTTCCAGTCACAAGCTTCTACCACTGACAAAATCTTGGACACGTTTTTCGAGGTATTGATTAAAAACCTCAGCTGGGATCTCTCTGCCCCTCAAAAAGCCACCATCGCTTAACCAAATTAATCTCCACTTTTTAAAAGATTCCTATCCTATCCATCTATTTTTCATTCAAATTCCTATTCTATTCTATTCTATTCTATTCTATTCTATTCTATTCTATTCTATTCTATTCTATTCTATTCTATTCTATTCTGCATTCCTTTCCATTTCATTCTATTCCACATTATTCTGCATTCCATTCCGTCCATTCCATTCTACAGTATTCTGTTCCATTCCATTCAACTCCACTCCATTCCATTCCATTCTATATATTCTTCTCTTCTCTTCTCTTCTCTTCTCTTCTCTTCTCTTCTCTCTCTTCTCTTTCTCTTCTCTTTCTCTTCTCTTTCTATTCCATTCCATTCCATTCCATTCCATTCCATTCCATTCCATTCCATTCCATTCCATTCTTCATTCCAATATTCTATTCTATTCCATGTTATTCTGCATTCCATTCCATCTGAAGTTTATCCTATCCTATCTCTATTTTTGTTCTGCTCTATCCTGGCCTGCTTTGGCCTAACCCATCCCATCCCATCTGAAGTCTATGCTTAAGCGGTTCCCAGTCTCTGCTTTCACTGTTAACTATGGCTTATAACGGTTATATTCCCTACCCACCACTAGGGGACACTATATGACCAGTTTCGTTCTTGTTGGAGTTCCTGTTAGGTCTTACCTATTCTCCTTTTTCAACTCATTATGGGGATTTGAATTCAGAAGTCTTTGAATGCGGTCGTTGAGGCTTTTTTGTGGCTCCTAAGCGGCCAGCATTGGTGGGTTTCTACCAATTCGTCCCAGTTCGGGTAAACCGGTAGAGGCTCCGCCCACCTGCCCAGACGTCATCACAGACACTCTGTGTATGCGCAGAAGATTCTGTGTGTATGCAGAAGTTCCGTACATGAGCTCACAGTCCCGAACCGGTAGCGAAGGTAAGCGAAAACCACTACTGGCAGCCAGTATTGAATATTAATAACTACACTATGGAACACAGAGCGGACTAATTTCCCTATCTTCTCCTTACAGACATCCGAAGAGGACTACTTTCCTAAATGAAACAGAGAAATTCACGATTCCCTAGTTGGATTTTTTTTTTTAATGCTACCAGCAACTGCTGCGGTTAAAAAGTTGGCATAGCGGCTTATTTTGAAGACCTGATGTTATGCTACAGCACCGTGTTAACGGAATCAGGTTGTGATTCTTAGCATATAAGCAGTTTAAACCTAATTGTCTTGCCAGGTGGGGATAGATAGCAGCCCCCAAATTCAGAGTTTCAGAGATTACAGCTCCTTTGGTTTCAGAAGGTCAGGCCACAACTTTATTTTAATATTTTCTATATTTCTGCCAGAGAGCAATTTTTCCACCTTTAAATTTAAATTTTAAAAAACGATCTTCAAAGCAAAAGGTTTTAAATCAAGCAAACATGGAATGAATCTAAACATTTTTCTGCATACAAATTGTAGATGTGTCACTGATTTATGGAACCCCTTCAAGGGTGAAAATAATAAAAAGAGTTCATTACAAAGCCTCTTTCTTTCCCATCTGTTTTTTTATTGATAAGTTGAGGGAACGTTAGACCGGTGATGTACAAAACGTGATTGGGCCCACGTTGAAAATTAAACTGGATTTAACAGTTTAAAAAAGAGCTTTGGTGGCACAGCAGACTAAAGTGCTGTTAAGTAGCACCAGCTGCCTGCAATTACTGCAAGTTCAAATCTCACCAGGCTCAAGGTTGACTCAGCCTTCCATCCTTTCGAGGTAGATAAAATGAGGACCCGGATTGTGGGGGGCAATAAGCTGACTTTGTATAAAAACGAACACCGCTTGGGGGGGCCAAAAGCCCTACTAAGCAGGTATATACAAAAGTATGAAGGCTATATCTTAACACATTGTAAGCCGCCCTGAGTCTCCGGAGATGGGCGGCATATAAATCAATCAATCAAATAAATAAATAAATAAATAAATAAATAAATAAGTAAATAAATAAAATAAAATAAAATAAAATAAAATAAAATAAAATAAAATAAAATAATAAATTGAAATTGAAATTGAAATTCAACTTCAGGATTCCCAATAAAGGGAACAGATAAGACTTGCCAAGATTTTAATCATTTTCCTTTCTAATCAGGTCAAAGGTTGTTTAATTTAGTAGTTAAGGCATCGCCAGGCTAGAAAACAGGAGATGGTGGGTTCTAATCCCCCCTTATTAGTGCTGGAGAAGACTCCTGCGTGTCCGTTGGACTGCAACGCGATCCAACCAGTCAGTCCTAGAGGAGATCAACCCTGACTGCTCTTTAGAAGGCCAGATCCTGAAGAGGAAACTCAAATCCTTTGGCCACCTAAGGAGAAGGAAGGACTCCCTGGAGAAGAGACAAATGCTGGGAACGATGGAGGGCAAAAGGAGAAGAAGGGGACGGCAGAGAAGGAGGTGGCTGAATGGAGTCACTGAAGCAGCCGGCATGAGCTTAAATGGACTCCGGAGGATGGTAGAGGACAGGAAGGCCTGGAGGAACGTTGTCCATGGGGTCGCGATGGGTTGGACACAACTTCGCAACTAACGACAACAACAATCCCCCTTAGGCATGAAAGCTGACTGGGTTTCTTTGGGCCAGTCCCTCTCGCTCAGCCCGATCCACAACGCAGTGTTGGTTGTTGTAGGAAAATAGGAAGGTTTATTTGGCTATGTTCACTGCCTCAATTTATTTGTCAAAAATAATTAACGTGAGATATAAATAAACTTTGAAAAGGGCTTTTCAGAACTAGACCAGCTGGGGTGGATTAAAGAAGTCAACCATTTTTTCAGTCCTCTACAGGTTATCCTTGACTTAATGACCAAAATTGAGCCCCAAATTTCTTTTGCTAAGTGAGACGTTTGTTAAGTGACTTTTGCCCACGTTTTAAGACCTTTCTTGCCACTGTTGTTAAGTGAATCAATGCCATTAATAAATCAATAACACAGTCATTAAGAGAATCTGACTTCCCCATTGATTTGGCTTGCCAGAAGGTCGCAAAGGGGGATTTTCATGACCTCAGGACACTGCGGCCGTCATAAATATGAACTAGTTGCCAAGCGTCCGAATTTTGATCCCATGACCATGGGGATGCTGCAATGGTCATAAGTGTGAAAAATGGTCATAAGTCACTTTTTTTTCAGTGCCGTTGTAACTTCGAATGGTCACTAAATAAACTGTTGTAAGTCAAGGACTAACTATTTGTACAAGCATAGCTAGGAAACAATGATTTCTACAAGCTTGTTTCCTTTTAGTAGCAGGATGCAAACGAATAGAATAGAATAGACTAGAATAGACTAGAATAGAATAGAATAGAATAGAATAGAATAGAATAGAATGTGGAATGGAATAGGATAGGATAGGATTGGATTCTTTATTGGCCAAGTGTGATTGGAATTTGTCTTTGGTGCATATGTTCTGAGTTTATTATAATATATATATATATATATATATATATATATATATATATATATATATATATATATATATATATATATTCGTCAAGAATCATAAGATACAACACTTAGTGATAGTCACAGGATACTAATAATCATACTAGGAAACAATAAAAACAATATAAGTTGTAGACCCTTGGTAGTACAGTGGTCTAAAGCACCCTGTTATTAAGACCAGCTGCCTGCAATTACTGCAGGTTCGAATCTCACCAGGCTCAAGGTTGACTCAGCCTTCCATCCTTTCTAAGGTAGGTAAATTGAGGACCCAGTTTGTGAGGGCAATAAGCTGACTTTGTATAAATATACAAAAGGATGAAGGCTATTGCTTAGCGCACTGTAAGCCGCCCTGAGTCTCCGGAGAAGGGCGGCATATAAATCAAATAAAAATAAAAATAAATAAATAAAGATATAAGCAACATGACTATAGCCATAAGTGGGAAGTGATAGGTACTACTAAGGATGAGAAGAATAGTACTACAGTCTTAGTAGTTAATTTGATAGTGTTGAGGGAATTATTTGTTTAGCAGAGTGATGGCATTCGGGGAAAAACTTGTGTCTAGTTATTCTGATATGCAGTGCCCTATAGCGTCGTTTTGAGGGTAGGAATTGAAACAGTTGATGTCCAGGATGCGAGGGGTCTGTAGATATTTTCCCAACCCTTTTTTTGACTCGTGCAGTATCCAGGTCCTCAATGGAAGGCAGGTTGGTAGCCATGGTTTTTTCTGCAGTTCTAATTATCCCCTGAAGTCTGTGTCTGTCTTGTTGGGTTGCAGAGCCAAACCAGACAGTTATAGAGGTGCAGATGATAGACTCAAATCATTCCTCTGTAGAACTGGATCAGCAGCTCTTTGGGCAGTTTGAGATAAATCTTTATTTTTTATGTCTATTATGTCTACAGATGTTTGCATCCTGCAAAGCTAGATAAATCTTTAATTTTTTAAAATAGTTTATTATAATTTTATTACAATTTTAAAAGGAATAAGCCAAACAACCCAGCTGGAATCACAGCCGCACCAAAATCAAGCACAGGGAGGCAATTCAAGTAAACGTGTCTTTTGACTCCCCAGCCTCAAAAAAAAGACCCCATCTCCCAGAAGCCTTTGCGCTTCCCTAGCGTTCCTCTTGATCCCACCCCCTCGATTCTAGTCAAGGTCCTCGATTGGTCCCCGTTCTTCTGACAGCTCTTGAGCGGCCCCGCCTTCCTTTAAAAAAAAAATCGAGTTGGCGCCCTCATTGGCTGAAAGGGTGGGGGGGAAAAAGGCGGGTGCGGGCGCTGATTGGACGGAGCGTTTACGGTGGCCGCGCGGGGTCTCCCGCAAGCGGATTCGAGCGAGGAGAGAAGATGGCGTCCGAGGGACACTCGGAGGCTCCCAAGGCGGGGGAGCTGCCGTTGCCAGGATACGGGGCCTGGTCGCCCAACGAGCTACAGGCCAAGCTAGCCGAGATCGGGGCCCCGACTCAGGGTGAGGGAGACCGCGGCGGTGTGGGATACCGAATTTAGAAGGGCCCCAGCTGCTGGCTTGGCCTGAGGTCGAGCCGCTGGTCGTTCAAATATGTCGTGTGAACTAGGCCATCACGCGAAGCCAGACACGTGTTAGGAAGCCGAGTTTCCAGGGAGGCGCCTAGGAAGGGCGGGGTGTGTTTGTGTGCGTGTGGAAAGCCAATCTTCTTCGCCCCTCGCCCCACCACAAACGGTTCAGCGAAAAATTTAGAGGGAGGGGACCCCTCGAGGCCATCTAGTCCACCCCGACCCCCTTTATTTATTGTTATGTGTGTTGGACCTGGTCTTTGGTGTGTCAAGTGAATTTGGTTGTATGGCTATACTGTGTATACACGTACAATGACAATAAAGTTATAATTATTTAATTTAATGTAATTAATGTAATTAATTTAATTATTCAGCGCAAGAACTTAAGACCCCGAAGCATTGGCTATCCTTAAAAGGTTGGGCCCCAGCATCCACCAGAGGTTTTTTTTTTTGTTTTTTTTTAATTTGATTTATATGCCGCCCTTCTCCGGAGACTCAGGGCGGCTTACAATGCGCTAAGCAATAGCCTTCATCCTTTTGTATATTTATACAAAGTCAGCTTATTGCCCCCACAAACCGGGTCCTCATTTCACCTACCTTAGAAAGGATGGAAGGCTGAGTCAACCTTGAGCCTGGCGAGATTCGAACCTGCAGTAATTGCAGGCAGCTGGTCTTAATAACAGGGTGCTTTAGACCACTGTACTACCAAGGCTTTTAAACTGGATTTAGGGTTTTTTTATTTTATTTTTTATTTATTTTTTTATAATCCACCTGTTTTTGTTGACCTTTCCAAAACGGATGGGGGGGGGGAGAGAGAGAGAGAGAGAGAGATGTGTTGGCAGAGGCTTCTTGTGGTGTTGGTGGTGGTTGTTAGGATCGTATTCAATGAGCCAGTTGGGAAGGCGCCTGAATGTGGTTTTTACGTGACCGTGGGGAATGAATGCTGCGACGGTCGTAAGTGGGGGGGGAAAAACGGTCGTCCAGTGACACACACACACACACACACAAATGGCACTTTCCCCCCCAGTGATGTTGTAACTCAGAACGGTCACTAAGTGAATTGTTGTCCATCACTGGAGGTTTTTAAGACGAGACTGAACAGTCACTTGTCTGAGATGGTATGGGTTCTCCTGCTTGAGCAGGGGGCTGGACTAGAAGACCTCCAAGGTCCCTTCCGACTCCTATCCTTATCCTTATCCTTATCCTAATCTATATTCTATACTATTCTATTCTTCTCTATTCTATTTTCTATTCTATTCTAATTTTCTCTGTTATTCTCTACTATTCTCTACTATATTCTATTTCTACTCTGTATTTTATGGTCCCACCAGTTCTTGCTTGCAGGAAAACGGTATTTCTTGCCTTTTGTTTCCAAGCATCACTGTTGCTGTTTTGTCCTGCTGTTGTGTGTGCAGTCCCTTTGTGCGATCTTGGAGCGACAACCCCTTGGTTCCCCTTAGCGCCCCCCCCCCCATGGTAATAATAGAATGGAATGGAATAGAATAGAATAGAATAGAATAATAATAATAGAATAGAATAGAATAGAAAATGACCCTTTGATAGCTGTTATGCAATGAAATTTCATTTTAATGTATGCTGATGGTGGTTGTTAGTTGCGAAGTTGTGTCTGACCCATCGCGACCCTATGGACAACGTTCCTCCAGGCCTTCCTGTCCTCTACCATCCTCTGGAGTCCATTTAAGCTCACGCCGACTGCTTCCATGACTCCATCCAGCCACCTCGCTCTCTGCCATCCCCTTCTTCTTTTGCCCTCCATCGTTCCCAGCATTCGGCTCTTCTCCAGGGAGTCCTTCCTTCTCCTTAGGTGGCCAAAGGATTTGAGTTTCCTCTTCAGGACCTGGCCTTCTAGAGAGCAGTCGGGGTTGATCTCCTCTAGGACTGACCGGTTGGATCGCCTTGTAGTCCAAGGGACTCACAGGAGCCTTCTCCAGCACCAGAGTTCAAAAGCCTCCATCCTTTGGCTCTCAGCCTTCCTTATGGTCCAAGTTTCCCAGCCATACATTGCAACTGGGAAAACCATAGCCTTGACTAGACGCACTTTTCTTGGCAGGGTGATGTCTCTGCTTTTTAGCACGGTGTCTAGATTTGCCATAGCTTTCCATCCCAGGAGCAAGCGTCTTTTAATTTCTTGCCGATTAGGGTACATCTAAAGTGACAGTCAAGTTATTCTAAGGCTATTCTAAAAATTTAAGCTTGGACCGGTTGCTGAGCACTCAAAATGCAGTCACATGACCACAGCGGCTCTGGCCATTGGGATTTGGGAACTGGGTCATGCGTACAGGTAGTCCTCGACTTACAAACACAACAGAGCCCAACATTTCTTGCTTAAGTGAGATAGTTTTGTCCAGTGGTGGGCTGCTGCTGGTTATAACATGCGCACGGCATCGGTAAATCGGCGATTATATAGGACGTGATAGCGCCAGGGCAGGTGGGCGGGGCCAGCCTCTGATCGGAACTACCGGTTTGCCCGAACCAGCAGCAGCCCACCTGTGGTTTTTTTTTTGCTCCAATTTACAAACTTTCTTGCCACGGTTGTAACGTGAATCATCACGATTGTTAAAATGGTAACATGGTTGTTAAATGAACCCAGCTTCCCCATTGACTTTGCTGGTCAGAAGGTCACAGAAGAGGCTCAAAAGACCTTGGGGCGCCGCAACCGTCATAAATAGGAGTCCGTTGCCAAGTGTCTTCATTTTGATCATGTGACCATGGGGATGTTGCAAGGGTTCTCATTGGTGTGAAAAACAGTCGTAAATTTTACTTTTTTTCGGTGCCGTTGTAACTTTGGACGGTCACTAAGTGAGCTGTTGTAAGTCAAGGACTACCTATATGTTTTGGGGGGCGTCATAACCAGCCATACATAAATCAGGGGCTACTGTAGCGACCCAATTGGCCTATCACGCTAAGCTCTGGTGTGGTTTGTTTGTTTTTTGCTGTAGCACATTTTCTTCCTGGAGAACTTTCTGAATTTTTTCTCCTGTATGGAGAATGATTGGCGAAGATTAATCTCCCATCTTGCTTTACAGCATCATCTCTGAATTATTTTATTTTTGTTCCTTTTCCAGGTAGCCGTGAAGAGCTCCTGGAACGACTACAAACATATACTCTTCAGGTGAGACCTTATTTCTTGTGATCAGAAAAAAGCAATCGTTTATGGGTTTTTTTTTACTGTAACCGGCTGGCAGGTCATAGAAAGGAAGGCCAAATCACTGGGGAATCTGAGTATACACAGCTAGATTCTATAAACCAGGATTATTTTAGTCTAATCCAGTCCAGGAAGAAACAGGAATTTCAGGCGCTAAGAAAGTAACATAGAAATGTTAGGTGTTATGTTAGACCAGGGGTCAGCAACCTGCAACTCTGGAGCCGCATATGGCTCACCCCTCTGCTGCGGCTCCTTGTCACTCAAAATATGTGTCACAACCACCAATGTGCAACACCCGCCAGCACGCGATTTATTGAGCTTTTTAACCCCCGGTAGAGGTCAACCATGGATAAATGGAAGAAAAGTTTCAGAAGAAAACAGAACGTTTAATTCAACTACATATGCTAGTTTTGTGGCCGCTCAAGAAATAGTCAGGCACGGGAAGGATTTTTTGGCTCCCGGTGTTTTCTTTTCTGTGGGAAAGGGGTCCAAATGGCTCTTTTGAGTGTTTAAGGTTGCAGACCCCTGTGTTAGACAGCTGTTAAAAACCCTCTTTGAGCAAGAGGCGGCAACAATGGAAATAACCGTGATTGATGAATTAAACCAGGGGGGAAATGTATTAAGAGCGTTTGAAAGGGAGATAGGGGCCTGGGCAGAAACTTTGGGAACTAGACAGTGGAAGAGGGTAGAGGTGGGAGAAATACTTAGATTGAATAGCCAAGAAACAGATTCTGACAGAGATAGAGATCCAGGAGAGGAATTTGGGAGGCAATTTAAAAAAAAAAAAAAAGCATAGCAATTAAAGTATTGAAGCAGGCAAGAGACGATGGATAGATGGATAGACAGAATTCCAGCTTTGCTGGCTGGGCAATTTAAAAATTGAAGTCCACACATCTTTAAGGTGGGAAATACTGTTCTAGACCATCACTTTTGCTAGAGAGAACTATTTTAGATTTCAAGTTGAAAATACAGTACTTTTCGGAGTATAAGATGCACTTCTCCCCCCCCCCCAAAAAAAGTGGGTGGAAATGTCTGTGCATCTTGTACAGCGAATGTTGCCGAAGCCCCGCCCACCCGCTGGCCCTCACCCTTCAGCTTCTACCTCCCAGCAATTTACCTCCTTGCAGCAATAGCAAACAGCGTGGTCAGCTTCAGAATAGCCTGATTTAGCACCAGCAGCTGATTGCCGGTTGGATTGTCCTCCCGGAATACCGCCTATCAGCTGTTCCAGGCTGCGCCCATCGGCACTGTCATCTATTGCCGCCTCTGCGCACTCCATTTTTGGCCTCTGTGCATCCCATTTTTGGCCTCCGCATGCACCATTTTTGGCCTCTGCGTGTCCCATTTACGGCCTGTTCCAGGCGGCGGCCCCCGCTGACTGGAACAGCTGATAGGAAGTATTCCGGGAGGCAGATCCAACCGCCAATCAGCTTGTTGTGCTAAATCAGGCTGTGCTGAAGCTGACGACGCTGTTTACTGTTTGCTGCAAGGAGCAAATTGCTGGGAGGCAGAGGCAGATAATTTTTTTTTTCTTATTTTCTTCCCCCACAGCTAGGTGTGTCTTATACTTCGGATCGTCTTAATACGGTAGTTGATTTATTTTCCTCCATTTTTTTTTCCTTTTCATTTTTCTTAACAGACGGGAATTCTGCTTACCAGGCCTGTTCTAAGAGGAGATGATGGAGACAATCCAGCCCCACCTCCCTTGCCAGGACCAGTAAGTACAGATAATCCTCAATTTACAACAGGTTCATTTAGTGACCGTTCAAAGTTACAACGGAACTGGAAAAAAGTGACTTAGGACCCTTTTTTACAGTTTTTTTTTGTTTTGTTTTGTTTTTATTGGATTTATATACCACCCTACTCCCGAAGGACTCAGGGCGGTGAACAGCCACAGAATAAAACACATAAATACAAAAATTTAAAATAGAATAAAAACGAATTAAATAATTTGGCTGAGACAAATTTAAAATACCCAATAATTTAAAAACAAATTAAAATTTACATTTAAAAGGGGAAAAGAATTAGGTCAGGCCAGCTTGATGAAATAAAAAAATCTTGAGCGCGTGATGGAAGGTGCGCAGATCCGGGATCCTCCGTATCTCCAGGGGGAGCTCGTTCCAGATCGTAGGTGCCCCCACAGAGAAAGCTCTCCCCCTAGGGGCCGCTAGTCGACATTGTTTGGCCGACGGCACCCTGAGAAGACCCTCTCTATGGGAGCGTACTGGCCGGTGGGAGGCTATTGGTGGTAGCAGGCGGTCCCATAAATAACCAGGTCCTAAGCCATGGAACGCTCTAAAGGTGATAACCAAAACCTTGAAGTGCACCCGGAAGACCACTGGGAGCCAGTGCAGCTCGCGCAGGAGAGGTGTTACATGGGAACGCCACGACGCTCCCATAACCACCTGCGCAGCCGCACTCTGCGCTAGTTGGAGCCTCCGAGTGCTCCTCAAGGGGAGCCCCATGTAGAGAGCGTTACAATAGTCCAGACGGGAGGTGACGAGGGCATGAGTGACTGTGCGTAGGGAGTCCCGATCTAGAAAGGGACGCAACAGTTACGACTTTTGCAGCGTTCCCAATTTCTGAAGCTAGCAAGTCCAGAAGATGCTTCTTGGGACTAATGCCTCTTTCTCTCTTGTGCAGGTCCAAGGCATTCCTTTGCCCCCTCCTCCAATGGGCATGCCCCCGATGCAGCCTCCCCCTCCCCCTCCTCCTGGCATGGGCCTCAGCTTCCCCATGGGTGTGGGACCCCCTCCACCGCCTCCCACTATAGGCGCGCCTCTTCGCATGCAGATGGATCCTTCCTCATTGCCCGAAGAAGAGCGACTGAAGCTGGCTCAGCAACAGGCCGCCATGTTGATCCAACAGGAGGAGAGAGGCAAGCAGGTAACGACACACCTTGCTTTGAAAATGCACAGGTATGTGTATGGGGGGGGGTGCACGTATGTGGGTAATAGCCCACCAGCTTGCCTTCCTTAATTTGGCATCTTTCCATTGTCTTCCACTCTGGCTCTTAGAATCTGTCAGGCCCAAAACACCCCAAAATGACACACAATGATTTTTCCAAGCTGAGTTTTCTATGATTTCCATGCCTATAGAGAGAATCTTGCCTCTGTATCGTATCTATGGTACACTCTGTGAATTATTAAGGAGGAACTGTCTTCACCCTCTTTCTCGCACATAAAATGCCTGGACTGGGTTGTCTCTTACTCTCTACAAGGCGAAAGACTCAAATTTACTGAACTAATGGGTAACTCAGTGGTGGGATTCAGCCTGTTCGCACCTATTCGGGAGAACCGGTTGTTAACTTTCTAAGCAGTTCGGAGAACCAGGGCTAATCCTGTAAGGAAGGCAGGAAGGAAACATTCTGGTGGTGTTTCTAGCCTAATCTTTATTGCCCTGCTTACAGAAACTGCCTCTCTGGTTAACCCTTATTACATTGTAACAGTTAAGGTGTTACAATGTGAGTGATGTTGAGTTGGCCACGCCCACACAGTCACATGACCACCAAGCCATGCCTACCGAGCTGGTCATTAGGGCAGAGAACCGGTTGTTAAATTATTTGAATCCCACCACTGGGGTAACTACCGCGAAAATAAGACCTAATAAGAACAAAGTTACGACGGCGCTGAAAAAAGTGACCGGCTGATCATTTTCACACTGACAAACAATGCCGCATCCCCACGGACACGTGATTTACCTTCGGATGCTCGACAACTGGCTCGCATTGATGACGGTCGCAGCCTCCCGGGATCGCGTGATCCTGTTTTTGAGACCTCCTGACAAGCCAAGTCCACGGGGAAACCCGGTTCATTTAACAACCGGGCTGCTCGTTTAAGCGACCGCGGTGATCCGCTTCGCAAAGGTGGCAAGGGAGGTCATAAAATGGGGGCAAAACTCGCTTCCCAAATTTTCTCACTCGACAACATAAATTCTGGGCTCGATTGTGGGTCCTACCTGTAACCCACAGGTAGGGACCCAATCGGATTCCATGCCGATCCTTTAGAGAAGGATCGGCATGCAATGGTGAAACGGCCTCTATTTGCTTTGCAGCCATTCCTAGGTGGCGGGTCAAAAGTTTGATAGAAAAGTTTGCAGGGTTGCAAACCTGCGTTGACTCTCCTTTCTCACCCTCCCACCTCTGTTCCTCTCCCGCCCCCCCGCCTCCCGCCACAGGCAGCTGTCCTAATGGAGCAGGCGCGCCAGCAAGAGATGTCAAAGCTAGCCCCTTCAGTACCTCGGACAGTTCCAGATCTGCTCTCAAGACCTCAAGGCCACCCCAGACGTAAGTGCTTTTGGGCCAGGACAGGAGGTTGGTAACTAGGAAACATCATCAGTGCTGGGAAGGGAGTGTGATTTTCACTATTTATATGCAAGTGACTTGCCCTGTCGATGTTGGTATTCTTCAGCAACAATTCCTTGTTTAAGCTGTTGCTTACAGTTGAGACCAAACTCCGCTCCCTTCCAGCACTCACGGTGTTCCCTGCTTTGTCTTTTAAGTGAGGAAATGACAAAAAATGGTATTGCTTCAGCTAATTTGAGTCTCGGTTTCCCTATTCCAGTAAACACCGCTTCCAGCTCTCCCATGGGAATAGCGAGCTCAAGACCCCGTGGCCCCCCACCTCCTCCGGGAGAAGACAGTCGGGAGGTAAGTCCATTTATGGCCAGAGGTGGCCAACAGAGGGGAAACAAGGCTGTTCTTAAATCCATCCATCCATGCATTCATCCATCCGTCCATTCAATTTGTAGGAGGAGAAATTGAGCTATGTGTAGGTAAGGGAGGAAGGGGGGGGGGGGGAAACCAGCCAAGTATTGATACATCAGCACCTTAAGTAGGAATGGGATTCAATTAATTGGAAACTGCCTAAGAATTTTGTCTGCTATCTGGGTTCAAGGAGAGATCTGGTTTTCCCTTGTACAACGTGCGTGTCAGCGTTCCAGAACAACCCAACTCCAATTAAAAACTCCGAGACAGGCATTTTCTCAAAGTTCCCATTTATTAGAGTAGGAATACTGGCACGTCTGGGAAAACCCGAATCTGAGAGTTTCGGGTTTTCCCTCAGTAAATCAAAACCCCAAATCCAGCCCCCTGCATCTATCAGTCCATCACATGGCCCAATCACCATCCGTCCCAACTTGAGCCATTACTGCAACCACTCCTCCTCCAGTTGCAGGAACAGCATGACCTTGACTGAAGGGAAGAATGCTATTATGTCTAACTACAATCCCTCTACTAGATCCCCCCTTCTACTTTCCCAAGCGCAATTAGGTGGCAGCATGGAAGCTTCCGGGGTTAATATGGCTTCCAAAGCTGTCAGGGCTCCTGGAAGCAGGCACATGAGTCAGCGGACTTACCTCTGTGGTTAAAAAAAAATGGTGTCCTCTTTCCAGACGGTTCTTAGCCTGATTCATGACAAAGTTTACCCGCTCAAATGCCTTTTCTCTTTGCCCACTGTTTCCTAAAGCGAAAGGATATCCAAGCCTGAATTGTTTTGCATGAATGAAATTCGCAGACGGCTGATGATCTTGAGTGTTGATTTTGACCTTTCCAGATCGATGATTCAGGGGTGGGCCCAAAAATTCCTCAAGCCTTGGAAAAGATCCTTCAGCTTAAGGAGATCCGTCAGGAAGAGCTCACATCTGTACCCGGCGCCACAGGTAAAGGACCAATAGTAGGGTTCCTGGGAAGTCTAGTACAGAGACATCCATCCCTGCTACAGACAGACGGATTATGAAATTATATTGCTGGGACCAGACTTGGAATCTTTTCTTTCCCTTTTTTTAAAAAAGTTCCTAGTCCTCATGATAATAGTGGAAACAAATGGGGAATCTGCAACAGATTGGCCGGGTTAATGTCAACTTAAAGAACGACACCTGGAATTGCTTCTGCATAGTTTCTCTAGGGTTGTTCGCCCATATCTTGCCAGACTAAAGCAATGATCTGCATAACTACAAGTAGACCTCAAATTACGACCACAGCTGAGCCCAAAATTTCTGTTGCTAAGTGAGACATTTGTTAAGTGAGTTTTGCCCCGTCTTACGACCTATTTTGCCACCATTGTGAAGTGAATTACTGCAGTTGTTAAGTTAATAACAAGGTTGTTAAGTGAATCTGGCTTCCCCACTGACTTTGCTCGTCAGACAGTCGCAAAAGGGGATCACATGACCCTGGGACACTGCAACCGTCATAAATACGAGTCCCTTGCCGAGTGTCCAAATTTTGATTACGGGACTATTAGGATGCTGCAACGGTCCTAAGAGTGAAAAACGGTCATAAGCCACTTTTTTCAGTGCCGTTGTAACGTCAAAAGGTCACTAAATGAACTGTTGTAACTCAAGGGCTACGTGTAATCTTCCTTTTGGGGAGGGGCTGGTGTGTTTCCATTTTTTTATCTCCCCCTCACCCCGCTAATCTCCGCCCCAATTTTGCCTTCCTTGCAGACGATGACATGGAGACTGAGCTGAGGGCGCTGGCTGGCATCTCTGCCTCTGATGCTGAAGACGACGCTTCGGCCCTGTCTAAGAAAGAGGTGAGAGGAATCGGGCTGTGTTGTGGTCTGCCAGCAGCCTGCGGAGCTGGCAGCGGAGTCAGACAGTGAGGAGGCTGGGGAGGAACATGGGCCAGTCCTGGAGTCCGCGGAAGGTTCGGACAAGAGCTCTGCGTCAGAGGCAGAGAGGGGGCCAGGGCCATCGGGTAGTTATGTGCTGACTCCAGAGCCTCCAGAGTTGGACATCAGCGAGGCAGAGGAACAGGGGGAGCCTGTTCCCAGTGCGCGCATGCGCAGAGTTGCCAGAAGGCAAGAACAGTTAAGACAAAAGGGACGACTCAGGAGTAAGGCTTGGAGAAGATTGGCCCTTCCCATAAGACATAAAGGAGAAGCAAAGGCACGTGAGCCTTTGCAGGAAGCATCTTTGTTCGTTCTGATCGGTTTAAATTCTGAAGCTCCGTTTTGACTCTCTGCTCCATGTGGCCTTGCAAAGCTAATTGCCAATTAAGTCTTTGGCAGCGTGTCAAGGGAGATAAAGGTGGGTGCTTACCAGCCTTATCCCAAAGGACTGTGGCAGACTTCTGTCGGACTCTTTACAAACTCTTTGTGCCTCATTACGGGCTGTGAATGAACATAATTCACAGCGGTTGAAATAAAAAAAGGTTTTTTGGGACTAATTGTGTGCTTTTTGCTGTCTCAGGAAGCCTAGGTCAGAACAGGCTGGGTCAGCAAGGACTTGGGAAAGGCTGCAGCTCAGAGACCGGGTTGCTTCCTTTTGCATGGAAAAAGATCCTCAGTTCGTTTCTGACGCTGCTGGTGTCAGACCTGTTGCAGTCTGATCCCCTAGGAAAGTGAGACTCTCGACTACATTTGATGGAAGTGAAAGGCACTTTTACTAAGAGAGGCTGGTTACAGGAGAGTCAGGTGGAATGTGAATTTCCCGCAGATCAATACAAAACTAGCCCCTTGGTTTCCCTTAGCGCCCCCCCCCCATGGGAATAGAATAGAATAGAATAGAATAGAATAGAATAGAATAGAATAGAATAGAATAGAATAGAATAGAGGAATAGAATAATGGAATAGAATAATGAATAGAATATAGAATAGAATAGAATAGATAGGATTCTTTAGTGGCCAGAGTGTTCTTTACTGGCCAAGTGTGATTGGACACACAAGGAATTTGTCTTTGGTGCATATGCTCTCAAGTGTACATAAAAAGACAAGATACGTTCGTCAAGAATCATAAGGTACAACATTAATGATAGTCACAGGGTACAAATAAGCAGTCAAATCATATTATGAAACAGTCAATATAAATCGTAAGGATACCAGCAACAAAGTTACAGTCATAGAGTCATAAGTGGGAGGAGATGAGTGATAGGAACGATGAGAAGATTAATAGTAGTGCAGACTTAGTGAATAGTTTGACAGTGTTGAAGGAATTATTCGTTTAGCAGAGTGATGGTGTTTGGGGAAAAACTGTCCTTGTGTCTAGTTGTTCTGGTGTGCAGTGCTCTATAGTGTCGTTTTGAGGGTAGGAGTTGAGACAGTTGATGTCCAGGATGCGAGGGGTCTGCAGATATTTTCCCAGCCCTCTTTTTGACTCGTGCAGTATACAGGTCCTCAATGGAAAGAAGGTTGGTAGCCATTGTTTTTTCTGCACTTCTAACAATCCTCTGAAGTCTGTGTCTGCCTTGTTGGGTTGCAGAGCCAAACCAGACAGTGACAGAGGTGCAGATGACAGACTCCATCATTCCTCTGTAGAACTTGTACCAGCAGCTCCTTGTAGTAGGAAGCTAACCCTCTGCTAACGGAGGTTATCTTTTCTCGAATCCCCTGAACAGAAAAACCGCAAACGACGGAACCGGAAGAAAAAAAAGAAGCAAAACGCCCCTTCTAAAAGTAACCAGGTTCCCCAGGCTGGCAAAGGACACGGGGAAGAATCGGGAAGCGATGCTCCCCTGGAAATCGAGTACGTGACCGAAGAGCCGGAAATCTACGATCCCAATTTCATCTTCTTCAAAAGGATCTTTGAGGCATTCAAGGTATGATCAGATCTGGGGTTCCAGAGATCGGGGCGGAGATGCAAAGACACACACAGGTCAGGGGTGGAGGTAGATCTTTTCCCTGTGGTTGAGACTCTAGATCCATGGTTCCCAACGTGGGGCCCACGCCTCACGGGGGGGGGGAATTTGATTTTTAATGGGGGCAATTGGAACCTTGTTTAAATCAAGTTAATGGCCTTTTGGGCTTCCTCGGCATGAGTAGGAGTTCACTTTTTGGATAGTAAGAATTATATGTCAAGGGTGGGGGCATCAAGATTTTAGAGATGCTTAGGTGGGGCATGGCCAAAAAAAGGTTGGGAACCACTGTTCTAGATGTTGAGACTCTAGAAAGAGTGCAGAGAAGAGCAACCAGGATGAGGGGACTGGAGGTTCAAACATACGATGAACGGTTGCAGGAACTGGGCCTGGCTAGTCTAGAGAAGAGAAGGACCGGGGGAGACAGGAAAGCATCTTCCAATATTTGAGGGGCTGCCCCAGAGAGGAGGAAGGGGGTCAAGCTATTCTCCAAAGCACCAGAAGGCCAGACAAGGAAGAATGGATGGAAACTGACCAAGGAGAGATTCAACCTAGAAATAAGGAGGAATTTCCTGACAGTGAGAACAATCAAATGATGGAACAGAAGTTGCCTTTGGAAGTTGTGGGAACTTCATTTCAAGAATGTGTCCTCCAGACACTTTGAGGGAGCTGGGATGTGGCATCCCCATGGACTCAGCTCATTGGAAGGGACCCAGCAACAGTCATAAATACGAACCCGTTGCCAAGCTGATCTGAATTTTGATCACGTGATGGGTTTTTTTTTTTTTTGCTGCGACGGTCGTGTGAAAAACAGCCCTTTTTCCCCCAGTGCCGTCGTAACTTTGAAAGGCCCCGCAACGAACGCTTGTAAGCCGAGGGCCGCCTGTAACTTGTTCCCGCCTTCTGAGAATTCCCTTCCCCAACTCTTGTCCTCCTTTCCTCACAGCTGACCGACGACGTTAAGAAGGACAAGGAGAAAGAACCGGAGAAAACCGACAAGTTGGCCGCTTCGGCTCTGCCGAAGAAAAAGGGGTTTGAGGAAGAACGGAAGGACAGCGACGACAGCTCCGACGATGAGCAGGTGAGTCTGTGAGTGGCTGGCTGATGGGAAACACCCTGTTTTCCTGCTCTTTTTAGCCTTCGGTGTGAACCTGCAACGAAAGAAAAAGAAGTTTCTTGGTTTCGGGTTGTTAGAACAGAAATGAAACCTCCAGCTGTAGGGGCAGTCCATCCCACAGTTTAACATTCTTGAGGACGGGTGGCAAAAAAAGCGACTTGTCTCAGCACATATGTCAAATATGTCTTATATAAGCTTCCCCTGTAAAATTACAGGGAAAAATGGCTATGTAGCTAAGAAACCTGCACTGACATGATATGACGGGATAATCATTATTGTTAGAGGAAGTGACAGGTCTCTCTCTCTCCCCCCAAAAAAAAAATTCAGGAAAAGAAGCCGGAAGTTCCCAAATTGTCCAAGAAGAAACTGAGGCGGATGAACCGTTTTACCGTGGCCGAGCTGAAGCAGGTATGGCTTCCATTTCTTTTATTTATTCATTTACCAAATTTTTACGCTGCCTTTTTACTTTATAAGTAACTTGGTAAACATATTTAATACTCTTTCCTCCTCCTCCCACCTTCACCTCCTCCCTCTTCCTCCACTTTGCAAGCCCCACTCCATCTAGCACTGATGATTTTACCTAGTTGGGTAATGAAATGTCTACAAGAAAATAACCAAGCTCAGAGGGCACCAGGGTGCCCACAATCCTTTTCCTCCTCCTTCTCCTTTCTCCCACCCCCCTTCCTTCCTTCCTTCTTCCTTCTGCTTTCTTTTAACCTTTTCTAGGATGAGAGATATTGTTCTTCCTGGGCTGTAAAGTGGATTTTTTTAGGACTCCTGAGGTTGTGATTTCTCTGGCTGGGCCTGGAGAAGTCCTATGATTGAAGACTAGAGAAATACTGTAGCTTTTTACAAACACAACATTATTTCCATTTGATATTTTACTATATTATAGATGAAATTAGGAGAAGAGCGTTGAAGGAATACTGGTTTTTAGTATGTGGATTATGAGGACTTTAAGCTACTCTATGGATTGTTGTTATTTCTTTGAACGTAGAAGTGGTTGTATTGTTTATTTATTTGTATCCCATCTTTATTAAGGTAGATTAGAGGGATAGAAAGAGAGAGAGAAAGAGATGGATGGACGGATGGATGGATGGATGGATGGATGGATGGATGGATGGATGGATAGATAGATTGATAGATAAATATAAATAGATATATAGATGATAAATAGAGAGAAAGAGATAGATAGATAGATAGATAGATAGATAGATAGATAGATAGATAGATGATAGATAGATAGATAGGCACAGATATAAGAGGATAGACAGACAGACAGATTAGATAGACACAGATATAATAGAGAATAGAGATAGATAGATAATTAGATAGATAGATGATAGATAGATAGATGATAGGGAGATAGAAAGATAGAAAGATAGATAGATGATTGATAGAGAGATAGATAATTGGATAGATAGAATAGATAGATACAGATATAATAGAGGATAGATAGATGATAGATACATACCTAGATATATACATCGATCGATAGATCAATTAGATAGACACAGATATAGAAATTAGATAGACAGACAGACAGACAGATTAGATGAAAGAAAGAAAGAAAGAAAAAGAAAGAAAGAAAGAAAGAAAGGCAGTTGAAAAACCCAGGACAGGGGTCGGCAACCTTAAACACTCAAAGAGCCACAAAGGTCCTAATTGGAAGCCCCCTGTTAAATTCTGGAGCTGACTGGAACTCCGGTTCCCTCACCATAGTGTCTCCTCCTAGCATGGTGTCCTTTTTCCTCTACCTGTCCTCACTGAAAGCCCCATCAATTGTGCTGCAGGGAGCTGCAGGAGCGGGATGAAAGAGCCACATGCGGCTCCAGAGCCGCAGGTTGCCAACCCCTGACCCAGGAGAATGGACTTTATTTATTTATTTGTCTTTTTGATTCCCTGCAGCTGGTGGCCCGCCCCGATGTGGTGGAGATGCACGACGTGACGGCGCAGGATCCCAAGCTGCTAGTCCACTTGAAGGCCACCCGCAACTCGGTCCCCGTGCCCCGCCACTGGTGTTTCAAACGCAAATATCTCCAGGGGAAGAGAGGCATCGAGAAGCCGCCGTTTGAGCTGCCGGAATTCATTAAGCGCACCGGGATCCAAGAGATGAGGGAAGCCCTGCAGGAAAAGGTGTGGAAGGAAGCTTTGTTGTTCACGCACAAACACACACACACGCACGCACGCACACACACACACACACACACACACATACAGAGAGCTGTTCCATGACTGCAGCCTTCAAGTTTGCACGAAAGGGAGGCTCAAGAGGGTGGGAATTCAGAATGGTCAGGCTAAAATTATATTACCGTAGGAAATTAAATAACCAAATAAAAGTATACACAGAATTTGTCAAGAGTTTGCAACAGCAATCAAATCCAGAAAGCACACACAGGTAACTGATTCAGCAGGATTCATTAACTTCTCTTTATATATAATATAACACATAAGTAAATGTACAATACCAATGGCAGGTTCTTCCAACGTGGTAGTAGTTACAAGCAAAACACAGGCAGAGGAGAGAACCGTTTCAGTTTCAATTCAGCAGACTAGTTTCAGCTTTAGCCCAGACTCAGAGCTACAGAACTAAGCCACGCCCAGGCTCCAAACTGTTTCAGCTCCCATAGGCTGACCTTGTTACTAAGCCCTATTCATTGGCTGACCTTGTTTTATTTTATTTTATTTTATTTTATATTGGATTTCTATACCGCCCTTCTCCCTGAGGACTCAGGGCGGTGTACAGCCAGATTAAAAAACATGCAGAACAAATATTAAAAACAATTAAAAGATATATAAATTTGGCCCAATTAAAACTCATTTACCAATTAAAAACGTTTTAAAACATTTAAAAACAGTTAAAAATTTCATCTTAAGCCAGCCCGGCTTGTTTAAATAAATGGGTTTTAAGGGCGCGACGGAAGGCACTGAGGTCTTGGATTCTCCTTATCTCTGGGGGGAGCTGATTCCAGAGGGTAGGAGCCCCCACAGAGAAGGCCCTCCCCCTGGGGGTCACCAGCCTGCATTGTTTGGCTGATGGCACCCTGAGGAGGCCCTCTCTGTGGGAGCGCACGGGTCGCTGGGAGGTCGTCGGTAGCAGCAGGCGGTCTCGCAGATAGCTAGGCCCTATGCCATGGAGCGCTTTAAAGGTGATAACCAACACCTTGAAGCGCACCCGGAAGACAACTGGGAGCCAGTGCAGCTCGCGCAGGAGCGGTGTTACATGGGAGCGCCATGCTGCTCCCGTCACTACCCGCGCTGCTGCGTTCTGGACCAGCTGGAGCCTCCGGGTGCTCCTCAAGGGGAGCCCCATGTAGAGAGCGTTGCAGTAGTCAAGGCGAGAGGTGACGAGGGCATGAGTGACTGTGCACAGGGAATCCCGATCAAGAAAGGGCCGCAACTGGCGAATCAGGCGAACCTGACAAAAGGTCCCCCTGGTTACAGCCGTCAGATGTTCCTCCAAGGACAGCTGCATATCCAGGAGGACTCCCAGATTGCGAGCCTTCTCTGTGGGGGCCAATGACTCGCCCCCAATAGTCAGTGATGGAGTCAACTGACTATATCGGGATGCCGGGAGCCACAGCCACTCAGTCTTGGAAGGGTTGAGCTTGAGCCTGTTCCTCCCCATCCAGACCCGTACAGCCTCCAGGCACTGGGACATCACTTCAAGGGCATCGTTGGGGTGGCCTGGGGTGGAGATGTACAGCTGGGTGTCATCAGCGTACTGGTGGTATCTCACCCCAAAGCCACGGATGATCTCACCCAGCGGCTTCACATAAATGTTGAACAGAAGGGGCGAGAGGACCGATCCCTGCGGCACTCCACAAATGAGAGGCCTCGAGGTCGACCTCTGCCCCCCTGCCAACACAAACTGCGACCGGTCGGAGAGAAAGGAGGAGAACCACCGCAACACGGTGCCTCCCACCCCCAACTCTTCCAGCCGGTGCAGCATGATACCATGGTCGATGGTATCAAAAGCCGCTGAGAGGTCTAACAGGACCAGAACAGAGGAACAACCCCTGTCCCGAGCCCTCCAGAGATCATCAACCAACGCGACCAATGCCGTTTCTGTGCTGTGCCCAGACCTGAAACCCGACTGGAACGGATCTAGATAAGATGTTTCCTCCAGGAATTGCGGAAACTGTCGTGCGACCACACTCTCAACAACCTTCGCCATAAAGCGAAGGTTGGAGACAGGACGATAGTTGGCCAATATTGCCGGATCCAGGGACGGCTTCTTGAGGAGAGGCCTCACCACCGCCTCTTTCAAGGCGGTGGTGAGGCCTCTCCTTGTTACCATGTCTCTGCCAATCACGGAATTCTCATACACACTGACAGAGTTGGCAATACATTTAGTCCTCAACCTATGACCACAATCAAGCCCAAAATGTATGTTGCTGAACGAAACATTTGTTAAGTGAGTTTTGCTTAACAACTGCGGCAAGAAAGATCGTAAAATGAGGCAAATGTCAACTCGCAAAGCATCCCTGGCCTGCTCTCGAGTTGCCATAGGCCAGAGGGGATGGGAAACTGCGAAACTGCACAGCAGCCAAAAACCAATGCACATTCCACGCTTATCTCCCTCAAGGCTGTATCCCGGGGATACCTACAGTAGTCAAAGGGGAGTGACGTACAACGTGCAAAATTGAATGTGATTGGGGGGGGGGGGAACAGGGTCATGATTGGGGCGTAAATTATGTAGGGTCAGAGCTGGCTTCACTTGGGAATTTGCGGACATGAAGCTCCTAATAACTGGATTTCTTTTGACGCTTAGCTCGAGACTCATGATTTAATTAGGGCATCCGTCGGAACCCTGACAGCAAAACTCACTTAACAAATTGAACTGATTCACTTAACAGTTGAGGGTTCACTTAACAGGACCCTTTCCCGTTGGCTGACTTTCCCCTGGTTTCTTCCCTCCCTGCCCCTCCAGGAGGAACAAAAAACCATGAAATCCAAAATGCGGGAGAAAGTCCGGCCGAAGATGGGCAAAATCGACATCGATTACCAGAAACTGCACGACGCCTTCTTCAAGTGGCAGACGAAGCCAAAGCTGACCATTCACGGCGACTTGTACTACGAGGTAACGAAGCTGCAGCCCTCTTCCCCAACTCGACGGGAGGGAGGGAGGCTAGTGTGGTGGCTCCCTTGCCAAGTCCTTCCCCTTCTTTTTCCTCCTCCCCCAGGGCAAAGAGTTCGAGACACGTCTGAAGGAGAAAAAGCCGGGAGATCTTTCAGATGAGCTGCGCATCGCCCTGGGGATGCCCGTGGGGCCGGTAAGTCGTCGGGAGAGTGCCAACACCTGCTGACTGCCGGCTGCCTGAAATTTGTCAGTTCAAATGTCACCAGGCTCAAGGTTGACTCAGCCTTCCGTCCTTCCGAGGTCGGTAAAATGAGGACCCAGATTGTTGGGGGCAAGAGGCTGACTCTGTAAACTGCTTAGAGAGGGCTGCAAAGCACTGTGAAGCAGGATATAAGTCTAAATGCTATTGCTAACACCTACGAGAACAGCGGTGGCCTCCGAACTGAGCCTTGGGAGATGGAGCAAGAGAGAATCTTGGCAGACACTTTTTTTTTTTCTTTCAAAAGCCAACCTGCCAAAGGATGGTTATTTTATCCAAACGGCTGGGGAGCTTTCTTGGAACTGTTGAAAGGACTGTGTTGTAGACAACAGATAGATGATGTTGTATCCTTCCTCCTCTGTTGAGAGCGGGCTGTTCAATTTGGACATGGATGGCCTCTCTGACCCCTCTTTCAAGCCAGCAGTCCTCTCTGTCCAGAATGTGGACTTCGTTGTCTTCAAAAGAGTGGCCTTTGTCTTTTAAATGCAGATGAACTGCCGAATCTTGTCCTGATGGGTTTGTTCTCCTATGTTGTGCCGTGTGTTTGTGAAGTGGTTGTTTTGTTTCTCCACCAATCTCCTGTTCTACAACACAGTCCTTTCAGCTGTTCCAAGAAGGCTTCATACCAATTTGCACTACTCAGGTGACCCCGAGGACACAGCTAAGTGGCCTCAACAACCCTCTAAAAGGATGCAAATGACCAGCTGTTTGCAGGGAATATAAACCCTTCCGTTCCTCACCATCCAATCAGAGCTGAAGAAGCTTCTTGGATGAGAAGTGAAACGTCTTCAAAGAAAAAAACAGAAAGTCCAGTTGCCTCTTGAAAAAAGCACTTTTGGGACAACCACGACCTGGATGACTGAGGATCTCCCTAGACATTTAGGATGGGATGGTTGCACAGAAGTCAGGCGAGGAGGCTAATGCAAAGGCTTCCGTCACTAACGGTGTCTTTTTTTTCCCTTGTGTCTCCAAGAATGCCCACAAAGTTCCTCCTCCATGGCTGATCGCCATGCAGCGCTACGGCCCGCCACCTTCCTACCCCAACTTGAAAATCCCGGGTTTGAATTCTCCCATCCCAGAGGTGAGTCAGCTTTCTAACATGCTTGGGAGTACTTCTTCTCGACTGTCGAGGGTCACAGTCCATCTGTTGTGGTCCGCCAGCGGCCTGCAGAGCTGGCAGCAGATTCGGACAGTGAGGAAGGAGTCTTGGGGAGGAACGTGGGCCAGTCCTGGAGTTTGGGGAAGTCTCAGACGAGGGCTCTGAATCAGAGGCAGAGAGGGGGCCAAGGCCATCTGGTAGTTCTTTGCTGCCTCCGGAGTCTCAGGAGTCTGACATCCGCGAGGCAGAAGAACAGCGGGAGCCTGTTCCCAGTGTGCGCACACACAGAGCTGCCAGGAGACAGGAACAATTACGGAAAGAAGGTCGACTTGGGAGTAAGGCTTGGAGATGATTGGCCCTTCCCCATAAGACATAAAAGAGAAGCGAATGGGATGTGAGCTTTTGCAGGAAGCAATTAATTCATCCGGCCGGTTCAAGAGTTGAAGCTTCTGTTTGTGACTCTGTGCCAAGTTTGGCCTTGCCCTGCATCTGGAAATTAGCCCTCTGGCAGCGTTCCACATGAGATAAGGTGGGTGTTTACAACCTTCCTCTGAAAGACTCTTTTATCAAGCTTTGCGGACTGTAAATGAAAGTAATTCAAAGCAATATGAATTAAAGAGGTTTGCCGGGACTAAGATTGTGCTGTTTAATTTCTAAGGAAGCCTAGGTCATTCTGCAAAACCGAGAAAGGTTTGGGGACTCTGTTAGCTCAACAGTCAGCTGCCAGACCCCACCTGCTTGCTGAATCCGTAGGAAGATTGTCAGAAAGAAAAAATTAAAATAATAAATCACGAATAAAAAGCAAATATATGTGTCCCGGGATAATGTTGCAGGACCAGAGATTTTGTCTTCCGAGCTTTCGGTGTCAGCATTCCAATTTATGATTTTCCCCAGCGCTGACATGAATGAGAGAAAGAGAAGCCTTGCTTTAATGCTGAGATGAACTTTCACTTAGTTTCCTGCTCCTTGGTAGATAACATTACTTAGGTGATAGAGGGAGGGGGAAATTCCTGTGACTGGAAAGGGCTTGGGACGGAGAGATGGATCTGCACGATGGCCAATGAGACATTGGGGAATAAAGAGCGGAAAGGGAGGAGTTTGGAAGGAGATGCCAGTTCTGGCTGCACCAAGAGTTCAGGAATGACGTAGTTAATTCTTAAATAAAGAAAAATTTCATCAAAGACTTTGCGTTTGAGAATGAAGTTTATTTGAGATAACACCGAATCCTGACATTCGGACTCGTGCTGGAGAAATTCTCTCTAGCAGAGTATGTGCTGTTCTTTTTTTTTTTTTTTTTAAATATTTTTATTAATATAAATAAAAAAGAGCAACATATTCAAAATCCATATAGACACTGTATTGTCTGGTTACAGTTCTTTTCTTAATAAGCATCACAGTAATGATAATAGTATTCTCTAATAGTAATCTGATAACAGTGCTTTTCCCTCATAACATCAATATATATTAATGGTTAATACTAATCAAAATTAACAATTGATAAAAGCCAAAAAAAAGTTACACATTTTCTGCTGAAATGTACAAGGTCTTGTATTTGTTCGAATCGGGAAATTCTGCTACAGCTCTTCCACGCTTCTCAACGTATCGTGCTTAAGAAGATGGTGCGAAACGCAGAATCGTGGCTTGTTTTAAGCAGCTGCCAAAGAACTGACACCCTTGTTTCATTTTTCCATAGGGGTGCTCGTTTGGATATCACGCTGGGGGCTGGGGCAAACCACCTGTGGACGAGACAGGGAAGCCACTCTATGGCGATGTCTTTGGGACCAACGCTGCTGAATTCCAGGTAAGTTTACAGCAATATTTCCTCCACCTTGGCAGTTGCAAGATAGATGAACTTCAACTCCCAGAATTCCACAGCCAGCCATGCTTTTAAGAGGAGTGGACTTCAATTCCCAGAACCCCCCAGCCAGCTTCCTTTTAGATGGGTGGACTTCCACTCCCAGAATTCCCCAGCCAGCCTGCTTTAAGATGGGTGAACTTCAATTCCCAGAATTCCCCAGCCACCATGCAAGTTGGGTGGACTTCCACTCCCAGAATTCCCCAGCCAGCCTGCTTTAAGATGGGTGAACTTCAATTCCCAGAATTCCCCAGCCACCATGCAAGCTGGGTGGACTTCAACTCCCAGAATTCCCCAGCCAGCCATGTTTTAAGATGGGTGGGCTTCAATTCCCAGAATTCCCCAGCCATCTTTCCCATCACCTTGTTGGTAGTTTGCAGAATATTACAAGCAAAAGAATATATTTGAATCAGTCTTTCTTTACAGAAGGGTGTCCACCCTTGGCAACTTTCGTGTGGATTTCAACTAGCTGGGGAATTCTGGGAGTTGAAGTCCACACGTCTTGAAAGTTGCCAAGATTGGATACTCCTGTTTTACCAGAAAACAGGCAGCCAACAGGGTGGCGAGAGAAGGATCCGTATAATCTCTGACAAACGCAGAAACAAATCAGGTGCTATCGAGAATCTGCCCAGCTACCAAACATTTTGTAACCCAATTCCTTTTCTCCTTCAATAAATTGAAGACTGAGAATCTTTGCTTTTCCATTGGAAGCAGCTCTTAAAGAGTTTCACAGTCACAGCTCAAACCTTCTGCATTGTACTTTTTTTTAAATTATACAAATTGACAGCTGCCCAGCTTGTAGCTGTTAAGGGATTGGCATCCATGCTTCCTTCCTTCCTTCCTTCCTTCCTTCCTTCCTTCCTTCCTTCCTTCCTTCCTTCCTT